GGGGTTGTTCCAGCTTATCACTGGCGATATCATATGGAATCCTGGGTGTGTAGAGGTCCGGGTTCCAGTGAGAGTAAAGGGTTCTTGGATGCATACTATGTCTATGTCTGCTTCCCATGCACGTTCTAAGGCTGTAATGTGGCAAGGCGAGCTTCTGGCCACATTCACCCAGCATACCTGCATTTGTCTGTGTCGGTGTGGCGTGGTTTCGCCGGGTGAATTTGCGGGTTGTGCCCTCATTACGCACTAGATCCGAGGCTCATTTCAGTGTCAGCGTGCTCAGACGATGACGTATTAGGGTCTTGGTCAGCGGTGCTAGGCTGCACGCTTCTAGCAGACATTCGCGCTAGGTTGAGGTCTTGCGTAGTTGCAGCTGTTCTCTTAGACCTCCTAGTCCCTAGGGTGGTTGCGGGCTCTCTAACAGTGGCTGTGTTTAGGTTGTTTACGTCTTGTCGGCTTCTTTTACTTGCGTCCGTAGGTGTTCCCACAGGCTCAGTAGTATTAGCTATGTCGCCGTCCGTGATTTCAATGGAGGTTTCGACCGTGCTGCCTGTCTGTCTTCCTCTAGCTGGCTGCATTGCCTCAGAAGCACGGTCACCCGCCTCCCTAATGACTTTTAGTTCCCCCTTTGTGGGTTGGATGAGTCGGCCGTTCGCCCTCGTTGGGGCTGCTGGGCACTTGTCGTGGGTTGCTGGAAATGGGCCGTGGCAGTTGGCGCACTTTGGTGTGTCTTTGCATTGTTCTCCGTGTGGTCCCTGGTGAGTTGCCGTTGTTTTGCTGCATGTCGTGCAGCGGGCTGGCCTTGTGCAGCGGCTGGTTTTGCAGTACCCTAGGCAGCCTGGGTCGTGCAGCATTGCAGGTGAGTTCTTCTTTATCTCGTGCGCGTAGTCGCCCGTCCCAAATAGGCGAAACGATCGTACGGGTCTGGTGAAAGATATAATCCAGGTTGTCCTTCCCTCCGTGGGTCCATGTCTGGAGGGCCGGCAGCTCGCCGGTTCGATCCCTGTCTGGGACAGAGCTTCGCTGACTATATCGTCTATTGTGGTGGGTATACTTTCCCCTGTGATAGTGCGGTATGAGCTTTCTACGCCCTGGACTGCATAGTTCACCCATCGTTCAGGTAGTCTTGCGCTCTCGCCCTCTACCGCTCGGATCATGAGTTCGCGATTCTCCTGCCCCATAAGCAGGGCCTTGATTTTGTCGTTGCGGGGCGTAATCGCCCAGCCAGTCTTGATATGTTTTGCCGTAGGTATGTCGGAGGGGGTAATTTCCTTAATCGCCTTTACAATAGCCATGCGGGCCGCAAATGGTGATGCCCGTTGGAGCCGAGCCTCCGCTCCAACCGCTATAAGGATACGGTTGTCAGTGTTTAGAGGTCGCCTAGGAGTTTGAGCTAGCTGCTTTGGGGCAGCCGTGGCCGCTTTCGTCGTAGCGGCCCCCCTTGCTGGGGGGGTTGGATTTTTCAGGGTCCTAGCTACGTCCGCCCAGGAGCGGTGCGTAGTGTCAGAGTCGCTCCCTGAGTTTGGGGGCGTGATTAGGGGCGTGATTAGGGAGGTGTTAATAGCCCTTAGCACCTTCTGTTGAAGGTCCTTAGCCACACGGGCTCCGTCTGGGTCGGTGTACTTCCCAAGGCATCTGTCGACAGCTGTCGCTAGATCCGTTATGATGGAGTGGTGGAGGTTTGTAGCTTTTTGGGCTGCCTGAATCCGCTGGCGGACCGCTTCAGAGACAGCTTGATTGTAGGAGGTGGGCGCAGTGCTACCGATAGAAGGTTCAGCACGAGTATGTGCTCGCTGCCTCCTCTTGTTGCCGCGCAGGTCAGTATTAATAGGGCTCTCAGGCTCCTCTGATCGTGTATGGGGGGGTTGGGCACTCCGTGGCGCCCTCTCTGGAGTTTCTACATTAGCCATTCTAACCACCTCCGCGAGAGCAGAAAGCGGTTATTTAGCTGAGGTAGTTACAGGCCGCCGTGCCGTTAAAATGATGTAAAAATCGTATAATTTTATAAGGGTCCCAAATTCCTTAAAAGTTGGTGTTCGGTGTGGGGCAGCTGGTGCAGCCCCTGAGGACTCCTTAGCACCTGTAGCAGCAACAACGCGTTTCTGACGCTTCTGCTTTTGAGTAGAGCTTTGTGAGGCCTTGCGCTTACTCTTTTGGGCTTGTTGAATAGCCTTTTGTGAGTCGCGAGCTGCTTTTTCACGTGCCCGTTCAGCCATCTTTTCAGCCTTCTCCTTCTCGCGCACCTCCTTGAGTCTCTCCCGCTCCACACGCTTCTCCTGAGCTACTTGAAGTTTGTATAACCTAGCCTGCTCTTTCAATTCTAATCTACGAGCTTTTTGGAGTTGTAACTCGTCTTTCTCACGTTCTTCTACTACCCTACGTTCCCGGGCTTGGCGAAGTTTCCTTGGCGACCAGAAAACAGCTCCTCCATGATACCCATCCTGATTAGTTTGAAGATCTAAGGAGTAGCTCTTCTTTTTCTGCTTCTTCTTGGTACTCAGGGCCTCCTTTAGTCCCTTTATCTCATGGCGGAGTAGCTCGTTTTGGGTTGAGATGTGATGGAGTGATCTGTGTAGTTTCTTCACCTCCTTACTTGTTCTATCAGCTGCTGTTTGATTAACTAGAGCCTTAATTTTACGCCAGTCTGATCCACTGAGTACAGAAGCTGAGCTCTCATCTGAGCTTGATACCTCAGGGGTGTTGCGGTTGAATCTTTTAAGTATAGGGGTTGGATCGGGCGGCCAGATCCCTGTGGCCATGAAGGACTTTTGGATAGTGTTTTTCTTAAAGGAGGACACCCAGGCTCTCCAGAAAAGGGGGAAGAAGTCTCCTTTCTCAACTGATAGAAGCCCCTGGCTGTTGTGAAGGTAGTTGGATAGCTCCTTTGAGTACGCAGTTGAGAGAGGTTTGAACATTACAACATCTAATGGCTGAAGGGTATGGGTTGAATGGGGGGGAAAGATAGCCACAAGAATCTTGTTTTGATCGCAGAATTCAAGAAACTCCTGAGTTACATGAGATCCATGGCCATCTAGGAGTAGCAATCGGTAGGAGGAGTAGCTCTTGGATTTGGTGAATCGATCAAACACCTGTTTGAGCCAGGCGACCCCTATCTCGTTGTTTGTCCAGCCTGATGGAGATGAAGTAATGAAGGCTGAGTGTTCTCCTTCACTGATATCCTGTACCCAGCTTGATTGAAGCCCCCCTGAGGTACTCTGGTAGATAAGGCCTGGGGGTAGTGCTAATCCATCGGCGCAAATACAAGCTAGGAGGGTTACCCATTCACGCAAGCCATCTTGAAGAGCTGTAGTAACCTCCTTTTTCTCCCACATTCGTCTGCTGAATATCCTTTTTGATCTACCAGTAACTCCAGCTAGAAAGCCCTTCTCATCCATATTGTAGATATCCCATGGCTTGATCTTATATTCCTCTATCTTCTGGTGCAAAAGATCGAAGTATAGGCTATATTTAGCCCCTGAATCAGCCTGGTGGCGCTGGCGATCCATGCCGGATTGCCAACGTGAGATTAGATGGGGGGAGTTTCTGTCAAGAAACGAGGATACCCAGGTATCACTAACCCCTTTTCCAGCTATAGTACTTGCGAAATTCTTAATCATCTCTCGCGTAGGTGGTGTAAGACGTGCTGTAAGCCCCTGAATATACTCTACAAGCTCCTTCTCTTGTTGTGGGTGAAGGATTTGATGTGCAATTGAGCGGGGCTGGCATTTGCCCTGATGTCTTCTAGCCAGCGTTGATCGCTCAACACTGAGCCTTTTTGCAATTTCCGAGTATGTAAAATGCTCTCCGGAAGCACGCAATTCGATTGCATTAATTGCATCCTGGATTGGATCCATATTGGTGGAGTTATGTGGTGTTGAAGGTGGGTTGGGTGTGAAGGTGGGGTGTGCATTACTCCGATCCGGGCATTGCGTGCACGGACACCTTATGTAAACGTATCGGCGCTTTTACCGTTTAGGCGAGGCTACGGAACACCGTTGTAGCGTGGCGCAACGGTACGCGGGATACACTGTGGCAGTGTCAACCGTTACCGGCGGACGAAGTCGGAATCGAGATTGGGGCTGCGCCGGATGCACGGGTGCATACGTGCGTAGATACGTACCTCCAAGGCGAAGGAGGTCCGGAAAGCTGGGGAATGTAAAAGACGATTTTTTGAGGCATTTCCTGCTTTACCAAGCAAATCTAATCAGAAAGCCAAGCTCGAAGTAGCTTTGCAAAAAAGGAAATGCATGGTAAGTAAGCCCGTAGGGCTGGTGTTGTCGGGGGTCATTGGCTTGGCCGGTCAAAATTACTCTATTTTTTCTAAATGAGGAAATCTTTCGTTCTCATTGCGGTACAGTGACATGCTCTCAGCATGCACTAATATGGGTATGAGTCCAAAGTCGGTTGAACACGCTCGTCAACATCCCTGGATTGCTGGGGGAATAGTCATTAGTGACAAATTGCGGCTGAAAAACTCCAAGCGAAGTGTCAGACTAAACCTATTGCGGCATTCACACGCGAGATATAGAGGTGCATGTTTTTGTTATGGTTTTCGTTTCCCTGGGTTTCACATCAACACCGACCACCCCGGCTGCGGCGGGAGCTAGGATATGGCGGGCGCTACCGGTGTGGCGGTGCGCGGTTAGTATCCCGGGTCATTACTCAATGTCGGCTGCAGCATGGCCATGCCTGCTCGGAATCGCATGCCCGACCGCGTGGGGGTTTAGCGCCATTTTTGGCGACGTCTGCGCAGTAGAGTGCTGGCACAACGCACAGAATGCTCAGAATGGGTGTTGATAGCGTTGAGAATTGGCGGCTTGGTAGAGTAGCCTGAGAAGATGTATAAGTTCAACATGATTTCCCAAGTTAGAGGAGCATCATCTGCATCTAGCTCTCTCATCCTCACTCTTCTTGTCTACTCTACTCTCTTCGTCTTTCTGGCTAATTGAGTTTGTTCTTTGGTTTCCACATCATCCGTTTGCGCTTCTTTCTTCATCAATATGTCTTCTGTTAAAGGTCTTCTGCTCGCCAGTTTGGCAGGCTCGACTTTGGGCAGTGCGGTTTCTCGCGCTGCACCAGAGCCTTTCGCCGACACAGTGTTCGTTAATGGAACGATCCACACACTGGACGCTCAATCAACCACCGTCACTGGGGGATCTTTGTCCATTACCAACGGTGTAATCACATGTGTTGGTCAAGAGCAGGATTGCAAGCCTCTTATCGGGAACTCCACCAAGGTGGTGGACTTGAACGGCAAGGCAATGATACCTGGTCTGATCGATGCTCACATCCATCCTCTCGATGCTGGACGAGCTATGCTTGGATGTACTATGCGCTTCCAACAGCTCACTCAGGCTGCTCTTCGCCAGAACATCCAGGCCTGCCTCGACGCGGAACCCGGAAAGACTGGTCTTTTGACAGTTACTGAGTTCGACCGCGAAGGATTCACCACTATCAACGGACCTGCACACAGGTCTATGCTCGACTCTCTCCGAACCACTCGCCCGATTGCTATCATCGCTACTAGCCAACACAACATCTTTGTCAATACCAAGGCTCTCGAGGCCGTCAACATCACTCGCAGCTCGCCCAACCCTCCTGGTGGCAGGCTCGGACGCGATGCCAACGGTGACCTTACTGGTGTGCTCGAGGAGAATGCTGTTGTTCCCATCCGAGCGCTTATGGGCGACCGTGGCATTTCCCAGCTCGATGCCGCCACTGTTGCACTATCACAGTTGCGCCAGAAGGGTATCACTAGTTTCCTGGACGCACTCCAGACTCCTCACACAGCCTGGTCTAGCCTCAAGGCATCCAACGAGCTTACCGCTCGTGTCTTCAACAACTTTGGAATCTTCGGCAGCACTGATTTCCCAACCATCATCTCCCAAGCGGTGGCGAGCAAGAATCAGCTCGACGAAGGCGACCTGGTAGCATCTCCCGGTCAACAATGGCGCAACGTCAAGTTCTTCGTCGATGGCATTCTACCTTCATCCTCCGAGTCCAGCTGGCTGCTAAGCCCCTACATGGTGCAAGATGCCCAGGGCAAATGGGTCAAAGGCAACAACTTCGGACTTCCCAACACAAACCAGACCCAACTCCAGGACCTCCTCACCCGCACCCTCGATGCCGGTATGGGCCTCCACGTCCACGCCAGCGGCGATCAAGCCGTCCGCACTATCCTCGACGTTGCCACCGCCATGAACCGCACCTTCGCCCCCTCCGACATTGGCATCGCCCACGCCGAGCTCGTCGCTGTCGAAGACCGCAACCGCTTTGGCGAACTCGGCATTCCAATCATCGCCTCCTACCAATGGGCACAGAAATCAACCTACTGGGCCGGTGACAACTCACAGGTTCTCGGTGCCGAGCGCATGGCACTGTGTCAAGGAAGCGGCCACCTCAACAACGCAGGCGCTCTCATCGCATACGGATCCGACTGGCCCGTCGACCCACTCGACCCTTTCCTTGCTCTTGCCATCGGTGTCACTCGCTCCGGTGACCCCTTGAACAAGAACGCGCACGCTAGCTTCGGTGCCCAGTTTGTCGGTCGCCTGGACCAGCAGCCTGGACTCTCTCGTGAGGCTTCGCTCAGGGGAATGACGACTGCGGCTGCCATTTACCTCAACGCTTCGTCTAGCATTGGATCGCTTGAGAAGGGCAAATTTGCTGATCTCTTGATCTTGGACAAGGACTACTTTGACGAGAAGGCTGTTCCTGATGAGCAGCTGGCTAGGAACAAGGTGCTTTTGACTATGGTTGGTGGACGTGCTGTCTTTGCTGATAAGGCTGCTACTTTCCTGCCCAGCGAGTGGCATGCCGAGTCGCAGAAGCTTGAGAGCAACCAGGTTGTTCAGCGCATGAAGCCGGGTAACATTCTTAGCCGCGCTATTACTGGCCGCGCTTGCGGGTCGCATTCTGGACACGAGCACTAGAAGGGAGTTTTGTGTTTTCTCTATGACTTTAGCGATTGAGCGACTTGGATTATTGTATATAGCTGTCCTAGATCTTCCTCTTTCTCTTTTGAGGCATGGTACTGGCGTTTGCGATTGGATTGTACATAAATTTTGTTTTCTGTTTAGATTTCGTTAATTTTTAGATTATGGGAGTAGAAAATATAAATGATTGTTTAGTCGCACCGAAATATCATCTTTTGCCTTCTGATCTTACCCACGACAAGCAAACGACCCTAAATAACGAAGTGGGCTATACGCCGACTAAATTCTATTGTATTCGACAACTCCAACTTCATACACTAACTCGCTCTGTTAAAATATGACTATATAGCAAGATTAATTGGCGCGTTTGCTTGTGAGTCTTGGGTGATCTAGAGTCATTCAGTGGGAAAGTGTTAAGTCTAATGATCTCGGGATGAAGAAGTTGCGGCGTCTCTGTCATCGTATAAATCGGTCAGGGTGCGGTAGTTATGAGCGGCTCACAGGAGCGACTGTACCATGGTACTAGAGTCGGTACCACCTTCTGAGCGCACACTGAGAGCCACTAGAACTTCTTTCCACTCCACGAGGCGCCCAAAGCTACTGTCCCCAAAAGACTTGAACCGACTAGAACGACGCAGCAAATTCGCGATCGCGAAAGAAGACCCATAGCCTGTGATCATCTTATTTTGCAGCACCATCCTCATCGCCATCACATCATCATTACATGCTCCTCGATAAAAATTAGCATCCAAGAACGCCCCTACACTAGAACAGCAACACCGCCCGACGTTCCCCAAACCACCCTCTGATTTTCTCCTACAACACCACTCAAAATGCCACAGTCCGTCCTCCTTACTCTCTACATACAATTCCAATAATCCTAACTAAACCATTAGAGCCCCAGCCCACTCCAATGTCCACCATCTCATCGCCCGCGGATGCAAATCAACAGGGCCGGGATTTTTGTCGAGTTTCGCGAGCCAGAACAACTGCGTTCAGGTTGGCCTTCTCACAGCATCAATCATGGTGTCCATCTTTCTCGGGTTTGGTATTGGGTACTTCTTAGCGCGGCGGCATTTAAAGTCAAAAAGTAATAGTTAGTTGTGTGTTATGGTGTAGGTATGTGTCACTTGTCACGTGACGAGGGGGGTTCTTGTACGGGTACTCCTCGGATGTACCGGACGTTCAAGTGTATAAGCTCTGAGTTGCAGTTTATAGATATCCCTCCCTTGACAAAATAGACAAGACCTAAATGTCGTCTCTTGGAAAAGTACTCCTTCGCACTACCGTAGCTCGCTTTCCGCCCGTGTTTCCCCCACCCAATGCCGAGCTACCTCTCGCTCTCTCTATTCTCCTCTCGATATCCTCATAGTATCATGAAGTTTTTCATCTTCCAGTTTCTGCGGTTTGCCCCCACATACGCAAGCGTCACGCTGCCACCATCAAGCGTACAATGCAATGATGTGACCAGCTCCTAAATTCAGCGCTTCGAGCTTTGGAAATATAAATAAGATCAAAGCGAGGAGAGCATTTTAGTGAATCGCTCGAAGTGCTTCCAGCCATGTGCGCCGGTTGTTGTTGCTGACTTCAACCTCGTTGATGATTTTGATACACTGCTCTCGGAACGCATCGTCCATCTCAATCGCAACTTGGCGCAACGACATGTTCGACTGGCGATCTGAGGCCCGATACGATAGTGCTTAGGCTCGCAACTTCTGTCAGAATGCTGCGCTCACGAACGTTGCGCATTGGCATGTCCACGCAGCGGTCTTGACGCCCACCATAGTTATGTTTCGGCGCCTCAGGAGATCCGTAGTTTGTAATCTTGGTAGACTCCCGCTTATTGGCCCATCAAGGTACTCGTTCAGCGTTCGGGATGGCGCAAAAGTCTTTGAAAGTGGAATGCTAAACTGTAAGTCGTGCATGCTACGATACGATTTACCTGTAGTATTGGGGGAACACATGATGGAACTACTGACTCGGTCTTGGCTGGGATGGAAGAGTTTCTTGCGTATAGTCAATCGGTGGCGTTTCAAAATGGAGTTGCTCAGATAGGAGTAGTGTCAAAGGTGCAGCAAACAGACTGAGTGAATCAGACAGGCAACAGAGTGACGACCATTGCCCAGACAACATGCAGTGATTGACCCGTGACCATAGTGGTCTGAGCGAACTCACCATCCAGGCGTTAAAAGAGTACACTGCGGAACAAACACACTCTCCCCACCAGTTCAACAACACAAAATGTCAACTCCAAGTTCTGCGCACCTCGACGACTCATCTGACGACTTTTCGATGCATTCCGACGAGGAGGCCCCTGTGCTCACTTGCACAGATCCATCCTTGGGCTATCAAAAGTAAGCTTGTGTGCCGACTAGCCTGAAAGATACTTACGATTACTAGGTACTTCAACTGCAAGAAGCTGTCCGACGTCATCATCAAGTATGGATCGCAAGGCGAACACACCTTTCACGGCCATAGGGTCTTGTTGGCAACTCAGTCCCAGTACTTCGATAAGCTTTTCAACAAGGTGTTCACGGTAAGTTCAATGAGAAGAAAAAACAACCTATTTGCCCAGCTGCTAACAATAGCACAGGATGTAAAAGAGGTTGTGTTGGAAGAAGATGATCCCGAGATGGTGGAAGTCATCCTAAAGCTAGCATATGGTCACCAACCGCAATCTCCCACGCTCGAAGGAACGCTCGAGAATGTCCTTTTTGTCATTCATCTTTTCGAGATTTCCACAAAGTACGAATTTTCGGAGTTTGAAGAGTTGGCTGTCATCGGGTTTACCGTCTCTCTAAACAGATTCATCAACCAGACCGCAAACGGACAAGGCCCTACATTCGTTGAGCTGACGACGATTATCGAGTCTGTATACGAGATTCAGGCTGGGCGATTAATTGAGTCTCTCATACAGATCCTAACCACGAACCCGCACGTCTGTGCCTTCAGGACATGGGACAGTCTCTCGCTTCTGGTCTTGAGCGTTGCACGGCAAGAGTCACGTTTCGAGGGCAGTCTTCGCGAGGAGTTCCGGAAGGTTAGGCCGTCAGAACATGAGGCTCTAGATGGTACGGTCCTCACAAAAAATTGCACTGCTTGCGATGTGGCATCGATAAAGCCCAGCGGCATGGGAGAAGGTGGGATTTGTCTGACTTGCGGCGCCTTGTTCAGTGCACGGTACCGGGCATGAACAAGGGTGTGCTCTCAAGGTGCCTTGCATCTCTTGTTCGCGATATGGCCAACTTGAATGCTACAAGTCCATCATCTTAGACAAGAAACTACACGGTACGGTTAACCTGATTGAGACGCGTCGGTCTAGAGCTCAGCCCGCACATGGATTAGTGGAAACGTAGGGTGTTAGCAGCACTTAGCGCGTGGTCTACTGGCATACCCAGCAGATCTGGGGCAGGCTTTGCTGACGATGTGTTAGCGAAGAGTTACATAGTCTATACGACATGTTCCTTCGATGTGAGGTATAGAATTTGTAGAGGCATAGAGTGAAGTTCGTGGTGTGGTTTTGCAGCGAGGTGCAGGTACCTGGCTAGCACTAATGCGGCAAGCCTCGGTAGCGGAGATGTCCGGCACTAGCTAGCACTGAGAAGCGGCCGTTTCAACTTTCCCCTCGAGTTGGTGACAATCAAGTTGCGACTCCTCACGCATGCAAACCACTTTCACGACGTTACGATCCCTTGACGACTCTCTTGTATACTCTGCTCTCTTTTTGTGTTATTGAACTACTAGAACCACACCCGCCCGGCCATTCCAGGCTCGAATACCCCTTACGACATCCTACGAACCAGACACCAAGCTGTTGTTCCTCCATCACCAGCTCTCTTACTTGTAGCTTCACTGCCCGTCGGGTTAGATCCGAGAATTGTATAGTCTAGACGATATTGCCGCAGCAATCGCTCCTTACTACGGCTTTACACCCTTCTTTATACAAAATGCCTGAGACGACCAAGGTGGTGCCCCTCACCTGCCATGGACACTCGAGACCCGTTCCACATATACACTTCTCATCCCTGCAAGAGGACGACCAATACTACATCATCTCAGCATGCAAGGACAACAACCCCATGCTCCGCGATGGAGTCACGGGCGATTGGATTGGAACCTTTCTAGGCCACAAGGGCGCTGTGTGGCAAGCGCGTCTGTCTTCAGACGCATCCATGGCAGCCACGGCTTCAGCGGATTTCTCAGCGTATGTAAAATGGGCTATTTGACCAAGTACTCGCTGACAACCCGTAGCAAGGTCTGGGATACACATACTGGAGAAGCTCTGCATACCCTCGCACACAACCACATCGTACGCGCTGTCGCATTCCCCAATCAGCCACACCCACAGATTCTCGCGACAGGCGGTATGGAAAAGAAGCTGCGTATATACGACCTCTCGCGTAGCGACGCGACGAGCTTTGAGATTGGCGCAGGTGTCCACACGGGAACCATCAAGTCCATAGTATGGACTTCTGACCCAAACGTCATCATTACCGCAGCAGAGGACAAGAAGGTGCGGTGGTGGGATCTGCGACAAGAGGCTACTATTGGAGAGTACGCGGTTGAAGGTACTGTAGGCTCCTGTGAGCTGGATAACACCTCCTCAGATGGAGTCTTGAGCGTAGCTGCTGGAAACAGCGCCTACTTCTTCAACAGCTCATCACCCGGGTCACTTCTCAAGAGCATCAAAACACCTTATGAGATCGCCAGTGTTGCATTCCACAACGGAGAGCGCAAATTTGTCACTGGCGGTAGCAACCAAAACGATACATGGGTTAGGGTCTGGGATTTCGAGGAGGAGAAGGAATTGGAGACGAACAAGGGCCACCACGGCCCAATTTGGTCAGCAAGCTTCTCTCCCGACGGCAAACTTTATGCGACTGGCAGTGAGGATGGTACAGTCAAGCTCTGGAAGTTCACATCTGGCCCTTACGGTCTGTGGAAGTAGGACGTCTCGCCGTGGCCGATACACAGTGTGTAACCTGTTGCGACATGGCTGTGTCGTTCCTGAGTATAGCCAGTGCCAACCTGCCAATACTGGGAGAAGATTAGATATTATACAAGTAACATTCATGCAAGCCAAGCTACGAGTGACGTTTTCGTACCTTGACACGCGCTGACAAACATTACAACATCAAGTTCGATAGCATCTGAAGTATCTGTAGCTATACTCTTTTAGGAAACTGTACCCGGAATTACCCGATTCAACATGCCGATAGATCGGCAACACCAATAGCAACTGCAGCGACCTGCATGATGCTACGACGGATGCGCAAGGCTTAACACGGCGATAAGGACGGTTTAGTAAGGCTGCTATGATAGCTGCGATTACGGCCGTCGCCAAGGGTGGGAGTTATCATCGCTAGAAAGTATAAGGCTACCAGATGCGGTCAGTGATGTAGTGAACCAGACTTCTGTGCAAGAACTCGCCTTGATGTTTGCTTGTAGTAACATCGGCTTCTCAATATCCCGATTCATACAAGCTGTCAATAGTCAAGATGGGCGAGAAAGAGCAGGAAATCTCGCCAGCGCGAGAGCCTAGCGTTGATGAAGGGCAAATCGCTGCTGAGAAGCAGATGCGCGACATTGGTGCGGATTTGTATCTTGAAGTCCAGCAGTACTCAAGAGAAGAGCTGGAGGCGGAGCGGAAGATTGTGCTTCGCAAGATTGACTGGGTAATCATGCCAATGGTACGTTTTTCTATCTCACTATCAATCGTATCCACGATTAGCTAACAGAAACCCAGATTTGCATGACCTACACAATCCAATTCCTCGACAAACTCAGCCTCAACTACGCAAATGCGTATTCTCTAACCCCTGATCTCGGTCTCGAAGGCGACCGCTACAGCTGGGTAGCCGCCATTTTCAACTTCGGTTACCTCTTCTGGGCGCTCCCAGCAAACTACCTTATCCAACGGCTCCCCGTATCAAAATATACAGGTTCCATGATTCTCCTCTGGTCCATCCTACTCTGCTGTCACGTGGCGGCCAAGAACTACGCTGGAATGCTCGCCCTCCGGTTCCTACTCGGAATGTTCGAAGCCAGCATTAGTCCAGCCATCATGAACATCGTAAGCATGTTTTACACGCGCGACGAACAACCGCTTCGCATGTGCGTTTTCTTGGCTTTCAACGGCGTCGCCACTATGGTCGGCGCTCTGCTGGGGTACGGCCTCGGTCACGCGCACTCATCTCACATCAAGACGTGGCAGCTTATTTTCCTCGTCATCGGCCTGTTGAACTTTGTCTGGGCGTGGGTGTTTCTCTGGGTGATGCCAGATAGCCCTTCAACAGCGAAGTTTCTCACGCACAAACAACGCATCGTAGCCATCGACCGCATTGCCACCAACAACATCGGTGTGAAAACTAAACACTTCCAAGCGCACCAAGCTCTCGAAGCTGTACTGGATTTCAAGGTCCTCTGTATTAGTCTCATCGGCCTCTGCTGCGGTGTAATCAACGGCGGTGTATCGAATTTCTCGTCTTCTCTACTCCGGGGCTTTGGTTTCTCAGGCATTTACGCTACGCTCCTCCAGCTCCCCACAGGCGCTATAGAATTCCTCGTCGTACCACTTTGCGGTCTCGCAGCCGGCTACTTCAAGAACACGCGCTGCCTCATCCTCGCTGTCGTGTGTCTGCCGCCGCTAGCAGGTCTTCTGGGCATCCGCCTTATCTCGCTATCCCACCGTTGGAGTCTCGTAGGCTGCACGTGGCTGCAGTATATCGTCGGCGCCCCAGTCATTCTGTCTTGGAATCTACTTACTACCAACATCGCGGGTCACACTAAGCGCAGTACGGCGAATGGCATGTGGTTTGTCTTTTACGCTGCGGGTAACATCGCGGGCGCGAATATCTTCTTTGCGCGGGAGAAGCCAAGGTATTACTCTGCGCTCACGGGACTCATTGTGTGTTACTGCGCCATGGTAGTGCTAGGAGGCGTACTGGCGGTGTGGATGGGGTGGCAGAATAAGAGGAGAGATAGGCTTTGGGGTAAGGGACAGGATGAGCAGGCGATTCGGGATGGGTTTAGTGACTTAACAGATATGCAGGCAAAGCATTTTAGGTATGCTTTGTGAGGCGATGTTATATATTCTGGGGTTTGCTTGAGTTGGAAAGACCTCTTTTAGCAGCCTAGTCCTGATAAGTAGGATAAACAATGCAGAAACTGATATATCACCTCACGGTTGCATTGATTTTAAGCATCCATGACTGAATCTTTCACCGCAATCTGAGCAAACCGCTTTATTGCATTATTAGATCAGCGACAGCACAGGAAAACCTAAGAGAGCAAGCATGCAAGAAAAATTCGGGACAAAGATAAGTCTTTGCGGTAAATATCCCGCAAGTACAAGAGATAAAACAACGTTTGTTAGAGTGGGACAGAGCTGCTACATATTATACAGGGTGATAAATTACATCTCTTGCCTGTTTATCATCCTCACCGCGAAATTGAGGATGCAATTTACACGGTCGAATAAATCCTTTTCTTCACATCTGGCCGCAGTCTTTGCCGCCATCCAACATGCAGGACTGAGAAAACACAGAAATTATTGCTCGAGACAATGCAACTACGACTCAAGGAGCTCAAGGATTTGGGACGACACATTAGATATGGTCGCAAATATGGAATTGGTGCTTTTCTGTCCTGGGCTGCTTGTATGAACCTGACATTCCTAGTTGCCTATGTATGACGGCAGAGAAACATGCCACATAGCAAACTTTTAGGTAGTTACAGCCATGACGTAGTAGGTGTGTCTAAGCACATCCTCCATTGCTGCAATGAGCAGTGTTTCCCGACTGGAATCTTACTTCTCCTTTTCAGGCACCAAAGTATCTGCGTGCACCCATTTGACCCGGCCTACACTCGCCAACGTGCAAACAATACTGTCTTTGGTGTCCAGCACAGCATTTTTGTCGAAGACATCGAACAGCTCGAGCCGCAAGCCGATGCACTCTCGACCACGGAGACGAAGTCCATTGACCGTGTCGAGTAGTGTGATCGGTGTCCGCGAATCAGCCTCTGGGTGTTCAAGTTCGAAACCCCTATAGATGTTATTTCAGAGAGTACGAGGTGCTATATGAATCGTCCGTAGGCTAGGGAACAAGCGCCGGACTGAATTTTGATGGTAGAATCCAACTAAGTGGTGGACGTAATGACCACATGTAGTCTGGTCATGTTTGAAGTAGCTGATGGAAATATCCGTGATAGCTTGACGTTGGCGAGAGCTGAGCTGAGTGCTGAAGAATTCGAGGTCCTCCTGCTCATCGAAATGGAAGCAGTTGCTTTTGTATTGGAGAAGTGAGGTCTCAGTACGGGTTTGCTGGCAGACCAAATGGAACACGAAGAGAGGATACACTTTCTCGCCATCGCTTGCATACCGGCCGTTCATCCTCTCGTTAGGTTCATGAGCTCTAGCAGTGAAAAGACCGTTACGCAGCCTCATTTCACCTATCAACTCAGTCTCAATGAGGATGGTATGACCTCTGACAGCATATTTGTAGATCATGAGGCGATTTCAGTTGGGAGACGATGTAGGAAAGGCGACTCGGCCATGTTGCGGTTGGTACTGCGCATGTTAGCAACTCTGAAAATAGTCGAATACTTGAATTTGTTTACTCACATCAAGGCAGCCTGCTTGGCAGTCCGAGGCCCGGGGCTGGGGGCCATCTTGTCGTTGCTGTCGTGCTGGAAAAGCTGCAGCTGTAGGTGAGACTCAAATGTGGGGTGTGAGTGGGAAGGAAAGAAGAAAGTGCGTGCGCCAACGAGACTGTTGTTTGCTTGCGACGCTAAGACTCAGCGCTAAGCCTAGTCGGGAGTAACTGTGAAGTCGAGCCCGCCAGAGAATGTGCAACAACTCCAACGCTTCGCAATTAGCAATACGTTTTGCGCTAAGCTATATCCTCCTTGTCAAATCCCGACCATATTAGTTACTGCATTTATGATCTTAGTTCAGCAGATACATGCTTATATATCCACCTAACAAGATGAATACTGTATTTTAACTAGTATAAAATACAGGTATAGTACCTTAACTGCTTACTTATTTGTTGTAACAACAAAACTGCGTTGTGAAAATCTGCTCTTAAGTATCAACACCACTTACGTATACAATTATCCATCTACTAAGCTCCCGTCTTCAGATGCTCTTTGACGTACCAACTCGAAAAGAAAACTAAAAATACATAACTAATGGGTCGTTCTACCTACCCTGAAAATACTATAACCTCTATCTCTCATCTTCCTTCTCCCCTAAAACCAACCTAATCCTTCTTCAGTTCACCCCAGCGAGAGGAATTTTGACCCTCTTTCTGATTAATAACCCCCGAATATTACGTATAACATCCTAGGCTGTACGCTGCAGCTCTGCATGTTTCAGCAGGTACTCGTAGACAAAAAGAATCGTTACAAGCTTGTCGTGTGCTTCGTGGTAGTACTCTGCTGCCTCTTTGAAGCGCTGCACGCATAAGGCTTGCAGGTCGGGGGTGCTGTACTTCCCTACTAGTTCCCAGACTTGTAGGTGTAGAGCATGTGGGCTGGTGTAAGTTCGCGATCGTCTCTCTGCCAGCACAAGCCTTGGCATACGTCATGATCCTCCCACCACGTTTCCGTCAGCGTCTCCTGGGCACACGTCTGCGCCAACCCATATACACCGCGAGCACTACGTACTCTCCTTTGATGATGAATGTAATGGTAGAACACAGTCTCTCTAACCTTTACAACTGCTTTGCTATCAATGCGCACTACGACTACATATCACACCCGGATGCTATCTGTGCTCAGAAAAGAAAAGAAAGCTCCGCGCCCATCGTTCAATGGTCGTAGCGACACATGGCAGCTGAGAGAAACGTCCCGACGTCAGCAATGACAACACCGAAGCCGTTCCGTCGCACCAATGTTTCGCCCAATCAGCGAAAGCGGATGCGCATGCCGACTCGATGCGAGCACCATCGTCAGGGCGCGTCAATCAAAGTTTTCTCACATATTTCTGTTCGATTGGAAGACCCGCAGCGGCATAGGTGGCTTTTCGGTTGTGGTTTCGGGGCGTATATGGCTGACGTGTGAGATGAGCATATAGCACCCAGACATATGGTTCTCGGTCGCGTGCCGGGACATTCCAGCTCCAGTCTGTGGGGTAGCGTGCTCGGCTCCGCATCCTTCAAGCTACTCACTACGGCGTGCATTCAAGTTTTTCTTCTGGCGGGTTTCGTTCCGGCGGTCTTCTTCACGTCCTCCCCGCCGCTTCCGCTTCCCATGCAACCATGCATCGTACTCCGTTCGCGTCTGATGCGCTCTAAGACTCCTTTATGGGCGGAGAGATCGCTGCACCTCCAGGCTTTGCACCTTGGGGTCCGTTTGTTCGCGACAACTATCAGATCTTACATGTAACTACCTCCGACTTGATCATTGCAGGAACGGCTTTCGGTGTGGCCAATCTTTTCGCTTTAACTGCAGCTTTTATCGCTGTCCGGCAGACGAAGTCATGTCGAAACCCCCTGAAGAGCACTTACATCTGGATGATATGGCTTGAGCTGGCCTCATCAGTAGCTCTTTCTATCATCTGCTTGCTTTATCTATTGAGGATCATAAGGCCAAGCTTTTACTTCTTCATGGCCATCTGCAAGTATGACGCAGCATTTGTACGTCTGCTTGGCTGACATCTACAGTGGTATGCTGGGTCTTCCAAATCCAATTACTGCCTCAAATCATCATCAATCGCATTCGAATCATCCTCCAAGACAAGAAACGAGGACGGCGCCTCACTGTGATAACCGCAATCATCATCACATTGATCAATATCAGCGTGTTCTGTATCTGGATACCAGCACGCCTCCAGATAAGTGACAGGTAAGCGCTGTGTACTGAATCTAGCACTAGTCTCTAACCCAGCTCAGATGGATACACATCAACTCTATCTGGGATCGAACAGAGAAGGTACTGTTCTTGCTCCTCGACGGCTACCTAAACTACTACTTCATACGCGTGGTGAACGCAGACCTAGTGAGAAACGGCTTGACCAAATACAATCGTCTAGTCCGCTTCAACAAGCGTATAATTGTAGTTTCTCTTTCTCTAGACGTCATGATCATCGGAGCAATGAGCATTCCTAATGGATTCGTTTACGCAATGTTTCATCCGCTGGCCTACATAGTCAAGCTCAACATTGAGATGTCAATGGCCCATCTCATCAAGACGATTGTGCTGGACAACCGACATACAGTCTGCGATCCGCATCTGTTGTTGACATACAAATCATCTCCGGAATCGGACGTACTCAACACCAATCTATTCGCGGAAGTGCCCAGGCATCGACTGTCACTTATTCGGGGACTCTTTGGTGGAGAACATGTCGTATTCCCACAAGAAGATGTTCGAGCTAGGGAACTGCAAGATGTCTCTATACAGACCACATCGATACCCGATTCTGAAACGCCGCTCCGTAAACATGTGGCCAAAAAAGAAGCTGGAACAAGTTCCGGTGACAATCTGAGTATCTATGATGCCCAAGGAAACAGGAATGATGATGTGGAGAACGTCACTGGGAATGACGAGAACATGGATGGAATTGAGATGTTGGGAGGAATACCACCGATAACTCTGCCGGAGCCCGTCCTGTTACCCGCTCGTATGTCGGACGCAGATTGAATCACTCAATCATTCCATGGATTTCACCCTTATTGACGGCTCATTTCATGCCATCGCTCAAAGGACAGCGCATGTTCCCATCGGAAACGCAATCACACCTCCGGCGTCTAGACACCATCCTTGCGTTACTGATTCGTGGCGAATGCGCACCACGCTTACGACAAGCAATTATTCGGGCACACCAGTCTCGGATATGAGCATTGCTCCGCAGCTGCACAAGGACTATTGCTTCGATTAGCAACAGTGGTCACGTACTCCGGTGCGTTGTCACTAAAGCTGTTCCTCTACGCCGGACCAATCAAACCCGATACCAAAGTTCGATCAGTTGCGCGACCACGGTAGCGGCACATGTTTCTTACACAAGCGCCTCGGTTCATTTAATGCCGTGTAACAGATGTGCCGGTACAGGAATCGCTCACTTGGTGTCTGCATCCAACAGACCAAGCATCACGAGCCAAATGAAGTTGCTCCCCCAGCTTGTACAATTCCCACTACCGGACTGCCGGCGTAGTGGAGATGAGAGACGCACAAGATGACATGGTGGGATGGGGTGATGTGTTGGCCATCTGTCATGTATAAACAGTGATCTGACTCCTAGATACTTGCCGGCTTCATCTTGAACATACCCGGGAAGTCTTTCTTGGTGTTGAAAAGCCCACAACTGCATATCGCATCGTTAAACACCAGTTCTTTGAAATGAAGGGTGTATTCGCCTTTGCTAGCTTCGTCGCTATTGCTATCGCGGCAGATCCCAAGCTATCTAAAGCTAAACCCTCCATCTCGTTGAACCCCCTCGCAAGGCGTAACTACGCTGCCACATACTGTACGTTGCACTCAAACCCAAAAGGATCCATCCATACTAATAAGCCAGACTCTACTCCTCCCGAGCCCACGGACAGCTACCCGGTGTCCTCCGTCATTGAAATTCCTCCTCCACAGCCCACCGAATGCTTAGATACAGACCCAGACCCATGCTCGACAGTATTGATCACCGTCACCTCTATCCACACCATCTCCGTCAGCCACGTCCCTTCAAGCCTCATCAGTGAACCACCCACCACCAGCGATCAGAGCTCTGCCACTGTTCCCCCGGAGTCGGCCCCTGCGACCGAGACAGAGAAGAGCAGCACCGCCGCGCCGGAGGAATCCACGGTTGGGACGACAACCGATATCCAGACTGAAACGTCGCTGGAGCCGGGTACGCCTATCGCTACGGCTACGGAGACAGCGACGGAAAGCGAACTGAGCACTAGTCTTCCATCTGACATTACACTTTCAATATCGATTATTGAAGGGAGCAGTGTTGCGCCACCTGAGGCACCGTTTCCTACTGCTACTGATGAGCCGACGCAGACTTCTGCTACTGGGACTGGATCGTATACGGCATCCCCTACGCTACCGGAGTTCACTGCTGCAGCGGATGCAGTCAGGGTCCCGGCTGTTGTTGTTGGTGTTCTTGGATGGGCTGCTTTGATGATGTAAGAACAGAGGCAGTAGTAGTGTATCAGATGATTTGGCACGTTTATTTGTATGGAGGTATATTTAAATTTGAGAGATGGCGTGTGAAAGCTGGCGACATGCGTAATATGGTAATTGGCTTGGAGGCGCGACCTGAGTAACAGTGACTGTGTATATCCATAATAGAGTGGTCAGACGGACGAGTCAGCATCACAGCCTCTCTCTCTCTCTACATGCATGCCTCGTTTACCAAATACTCGTGTCCACAAGAATCATTTTTCACACCAGTACGACGCCGCTTACCACAAGTGGAAAGCAGCGGCGCCTACCAGCGCAAGTAGCGCAGAGCCTTCGATACCGTACCTGGTAGCGGCACCAGTGCTCTCCGGGGTAGACGACGAGCTACTCTGGGTAGCAGAGGCGCTTGAAGCAGAAGCCATACCCGTCGGCGACATGGACGCACTAGGCGTCATCGAACCCGTACTCATGGCGCTCTTCACCGAAGCAGAAGTAGTCGTAGCCGCCGCAACAGCAGGCGAAGCGGTACTCTGTGGCGCGGCACTAGCTCTGGTGCTCGTTGCGCTGCCACTCCCGCTGCCACTCAGCAAACTCTGGCCCTCAACCACGGTGGCCGTGAGAAACTTGACGTCTTCCTTTTGCAGAGTCGCGGTAACGGCCTTGCCGCCAGTGTCATCGTTTCCGCCCTTTTGGTTCACCGTGCACGTCATCTGGATTTTCTTTGTGTTGTAGTCGCAGCCCAGGCTCATGCTTACGCCCTCGGTGGACATTTCGGCCTGGAAGCGCGTTTGGCTGAGGATTGTCACGTCGAGACCGGGGCCCCAGCCACACTCCATTGTCTTGGGCCCGGTGGGGCAGGCGATGTGGAATTCGGTTGTCTTGGGGTTTGCGACATTGATTGTTGCGACGGGGTCGACGCCATCGTAGCCTGTTGGAGGGTTGGTTGTTAGTTTAGGTTATCGGAAGGGACGTGTTCGCTGTGGCGCTTTTATTTGGTGGGGGTATACGAGGGAGGAAGGGAGAGAGGCGCGTACCACCCGGGAAGAAGAAGCTGACGACATCATCTTGAGCACAAGCCGTGGTGGCTAGTAGCAGAGTGAGTGTAGCAATTGATTGACGCATCCTTCGTGTTCGTTGCTTAGTGTGGGGTCGGGTGAAGGACAGGGATTAAATTATCGAATAAGAGAAAGTATATTTATGTGAGCGGTCTCTCGTACAGGAGGCTATAAAAATGAGTGACTAGAGAACAGAGACGGAGCGCAGCCGCAGAAAAAGAGTGTAATGCACGTCGCGAAGACGAGGTAGGTGGGCAGCAAACGGCGGAGGATGAGTTGTACAAGACTGTTCCAGGGCCCGGGTATATGAGGCGCAGCATCTTCAGTCTCTGGATTCTCATTTCCCCCTGCGCTGGGGGGACTAGGAAGCTTGTTTGGCTAGTCGCCGTGTGGGTCGGTGTTAGCCGTATGAGCGTCCGCCGCGTGAAATGATACCAAGCCTTCTAGACAAACTATCGCGCCAATCACATGCGACGGCCCATATGCGGATGACAGGCTTGAGTCGTGCTGGCAGTTGGTAGAGGCACAAGCCGGCGTCGAACGACACGTGAACTGCTGCTAAAACCGTTCGTCTCGGGATATATAGTGATAGTGTAGCCAATGTCCGAATCTTGCGGGCCGGCCGAGATGAAGACTACAGATGGAGGCTAGTCGTCTCGAAAGTCTGTTCAGTCTCTTCAGCAACGAGCGCACAAATGCAGTCACTCTTGTTTGAGGCGGTGTACATGACGCCGCGAAACACACGGCATAATGTACCCAAGTCGTTTTGTACCTGTTGCATGCTTAATAGCTGTCTGCTATTGCGCAAACCCGGGGGCTGAAACAATCGAGTACCCGACCATGACATGACTGACATGCGGATTGAGGCGCGAACTCCCGGCTCATAGGCGAGATTACCGGATATTAAGTTTATATCGCAATTCGTTTCCTTTATCGTGACAACACTGAAGTTAGTCCGTCTGGGCAGCTCGGAGGTGTACGGGAGAGTGACACTTGCTCGTGCGGAGAGATGCAGGAACGACCGTCGACCCCGCTTACCCATTCATCATGACGTCTCGCAAAGTCAAATGCCTCCCACCCTCTCACTCTCAAGCCGTGCTTCTTAGCTGTCGATTAGATTGCCAGACTCATAAACAGCCTTTGACATCACTTGCACTATCCTTGGAGGCATCGGCTCAAAGTCCGTGAGATCGTCACCATAGACCCTGCAGCCAATCTTCACCCGCACGGCATGTGTTCAACCTTCTCAGGACGCGGTGAACTAATCTTGTGGGGATCTGTCGATCCAGCTTTGGTCGATGAGGAGGCTCTGAACGACTGGTGGACAAATGAACACCTCCCCGAGCGCCTCCGGCTACCGGGCTTTCAACTCGCGCGTCGCTACCGTGGATTTGAGCCAAAACATGGACAGCACGAATATCTTGCACTGTACGAAGTATCAAGTGTACAAGATCTAGCATCAACAGAGTACATGCACGCACTCAATCATCCCACTGATCGGACGGTACAGTATATGCCGTGTCTCGCGAAGATGAACCGCTTTGCATGTGGAAACATGTATGAGCACCAAACACCATACTCAGTAGCAGGAACAAGGCACATGTGCGACGAGTATCTCCTCATGGTCGTGTGTAAGCTTGGAGAAGAGGCCACAAGATTTGGACCTAATCCTCTCGATATCCAGCGAGTTTTCAAACACATCAGCCACAACGAGCATGCTCCATCGGCTGATATACGGCGTGTGCGTGTCTCATCAGTAAGCCCATACATCACCGCTCAAGGAAGTGCAAGCAAGTCTTACGACGGCGTTGGATTCAATACTCGACCAGATAACGCACCACAACCCCTAGACAGACCCAATACATTGATCTTACTATTCGACCTCTACTCCACCACAACACCCACATCCCTCTCCACCAGCACATGGTTCACCAAGCTCGAATCCAAGTTGGAGGAATCAAACCTGCGCATATCATACAAAAACATGTACTCACTCATAGCGACACTCGTCAAAGACGCCATCGAGGCTGAGGCCTAACGCCCTGGCCGCCTTACCACATCTCAGACATATCGGGTAACGCGCGCCCCGATTCCAGGCACCAGCGCCCAATCGCCACCAGCCGCGCGACAAAGAAAATAAATCACATATGCACTCGGGTATAGGAAAGATGCCAAAAATGGTTTTGAGGCGTGGACATTGCAGGGGTACAAATCCTGTGTTGTTTTCACCAGGCAAGACCGGTCAAGACAGCGGTTGTGCGATATAAGATCTGGCGCAGCCCACGAGAAAACTCGTACGCTCCTCTAGGTATATTCCTGGGCTCCTGAAAGTGACGCCTTTGTCTAGCATACTCACACAATGCCGTCCCTCGCGAATCCCTTTGTGCGCCCCGCAACCACTTCGCCCCGCCTGCACATCCTCCAAGTCAGCCAGCTCTCCATTGCAGCACTCAGCCTCATCGCCTTCGTCATCACCCTCGTGCTCCCGCTCAACCACAAGCTCTTCACCCTTAGCCTCCTCTACACTCCGCTTCTCACCTCCATCACCACCGTATACCTCGTCCGTCGCGAGAAGAGACGCGCAGCAGATGGCACGCTGTCCAAGCAGAAATATGTGAAATACCAGCTATTCAAGATGGTGGCGGCGATTGGCTTGTCCGTTGTGGGCTTCATTGGTCACTTGGCTAGTGCGCCTCACAGTGCTGGTCAAGGGCAGAAGACAGGGGAGAGGGGTATGTGGATTAATGGGGTGAGGATCAACACGTGGATGGGGTTGATGCTTTGGATCAACTTCTTCAACTGGTAGGTTTGATCTATTTTTATGTCGTCCTACGAGGGACTTTGCTAATATGTGTAAAAGGCTGTTTTTGTGGGCAAGCTTGTGCTACTCGTGCTGCATGACAGGGAACAAGCAGGGGCCTATTGCTCTTGCGGGCGAGGAGGCGCATATTGGTCTTGCTGATGAGACGTATGAGGATGAGGATGTTCGCGTCTAAGTCTCAGTCTGGGGTTTTCATGGTTAGGCAGCTGCATATGCAGTACGGCATGCGTGTCACGTTATATCTCGTGTACCTATGGCAACCGGTCTCGCAGCTTTGGAGATCACTAGATCATAATGAGGAAAGTCAAGAATTTCTGAAACGAAAATGCTTCAGTTTATTGCTAGAGTCACAAACAAAACTATGATGAGTTTGGGAAAAGCTTTGAGCATGACTACACACGGTCATGCCCAAATCCCTCTAACCATACACCTATCCAATGATCGCGTGGAGACCTCCATCACCGCCTGTGACGAAAATCTTGACGCCCGCCCGCACAGCCACCCCTTGAGTGTAGCCCCATGTGTAATCATGGTCACAACCAGGGTTGAGCTGGCGCCCATACTACACCCTTCCACATACGACGGAACATACCAGGGCTCCTTGTTCGGAATCTCTAAGCTTAATTTGTATATAAAATACAGCTTTTCGTTGCACAAAAGCTTTATTATATGCAGATAAATCCAGCTAACAACCATCTCGTTTTTTGCAAGAAACACTAAATTTAATGCTTTAAATTTAAATAACCCAACACCATAAAATACTACAATAAGACAGAGAAAACCGATAAAAGAAGATAAAAGAGGGCTTTCGAATGATATATACAAAGGAGGGACATTTTGGGCGTAATATTGGGTTATTTTGCATTACACCTTCCTGCGGACCCCTGTCATGTTCCGTCTTATGTGACGAGACGCGGTACACGTCGATACGATTCAACGCCTACGGGAGCGTCCGCTTGTCAGGGTGATAGTAGCAGGCGTATCGGTGAATATTTGAGACTTGGTGACCTCGGTTATGTGCTTCATGAACAAACCCATAGCCAGCACCGAGATGTCGATCGAATTGACCAAGGCAGTCAGATCATGCACATCCATGTCACCGGTTAAGCTGATCGACCTACCTTCCCAGATCCACACATACAGACTACCCACCAGCCTCGCAAGCCCGGGGCGCTCCACTATCGTGCAAAGGAAACACGCCAAAGGCGATGGCGTTGGCTTCTCAGACGAGCCAACGCCGCGTGGTAGAATCAGGGAGACGTCACGGTACAAGAAATCCTGAGCAATTGGCGCAAGCGCCTTGCACGTCAGGCTCAAGTGGAGAAGATTCTTGAATCTAGTTACCTCCAAACACGCTTTTTGTCCTATTTTAAATTGGAGGCAGGCTCTTTGTCCCGCTCTAGAGCGAGAGACAGGATGCGCACCGATCACAATAGTGAAGACTGTTCTAGTCATAGATGAAGTGTTGCCGGTTAGAGGATCAATCCTATGCAAAAGTACGCATCGCGACTTTCGAAGTGAGCCACACTATACCGGATTGGGACTAGACCGGAACAGACGGGGAAGGAACAGTGACGTTTCATATCAGATTTTAATCTTTGATGGCTGTGAAAATCAACAGAATGGGCACATACATTGGGAAGTTCATCTTACTAGCACAACACTTGAAGAATGCTTTATGAAACATTCTCTTGCCATGTATCGCCTTGAGAATAAGCTCTCAACTATTACTCCAACAAATCAGATGCCATGTTTGGGTGTAATGTGTTCCTATTGTAAAGTCTACCTAGACAAGCAATCCCGGTGGGAGTAGTTATGTACTTGAGGTCTGTCCACAAGATGCTATGTGATCATGTGACAGCAGATCTCCAATGACCTTAAGCTGGAACTGTTGCCTGTGATACTCCAATGTGCTCTCATTCAGTGGTAATGAAGCTCTCCAGTCTACGTCATAACTGCATCTCCGTCCCTGTCCCACTCTGTCTCAAGCGGTGGATAATTACGTACTAAATTTTCCAGGTCGCCTGGCTCGAACCTGACATGCGAACCCTCCGGATATTGCCGAAGTGCCAGAAGCTCGGCTACTGGCAACAATCCTTCTTCTTGCAAACTCCACGGAGTACCACCAATTTCCCACGTCTCGAGCATCCACCACCTGGGAAAGTACAAGTATAGCTCCAGCTCGGCAGCCCGAAATATCCGTCGTAAGAACTTGATTAACAGCAGTGATAGCTTTTCCCCCTTCCAAATCTGGTCGTTTGACGTGTCCATGTAGTAGACTTCCACGCGGCGAAGAGAAGGAAAGTGGCCGCTTATCTTGGCTGCACAGAGATCTTTGAGAAAACAGGCGGTGAAGGTTGTCTGTTGCACGCTAGCAGGGCTATCCCTACACTCTCTCATTCCTCACATATATATAGCTTCCCTCGTTCATAGCTATACAATCAACTCAGTCCTTCATCTCTTCTTCCATATCACATACGTGAGAGTTATGAGCCCGGATTTGCCTACTGCAATCTTTTAACCACTGAAGTTCACTCAACTGCCATCTCTTTGGCATCTATCTCCCGACAACCTATCCCAACTTTGCGATACTCTGCTATCTAGAATGGCATCAGTTGAAACCCAGAGGTCTACTAAGACCGTTGTCATCCTGACAAAACCAGAGGACTGGTCCCTTTGGCTCTTTCAACACAAGGATAAGGCAGTGTCACATGGAGTATGGGAGTACTGTAATCCAGCAGTCTCTACACCACCCACTCTTACGCCAAAACCTGAACGCCCTATACTCCCAGATGGAGACCTTACGGCCGAAGTTCTTCAAGTACAGCGAATGAAGCTCAGCGAGTGGGAATGGAAGTACAAGGAGTGGCACCAGAAAGACAAAGCTCTCAAGGAGATCTGCACTGACGTGGCATCAACAATCTCCACTTCTTTGATTCCTCTCATCCAGAATGACGCAACTGCACACGCACGACTAGCCAAGCTCAGAGCCCACATAGCCCCATCCGACCCTACCCGAAGAAGAGAGCTTAGGGTGAAATACGACGCTCTACGATCACCTAAACCGCGCAACACAAGCGTGGACAAATGGCTAGACGAATGGATACGCGTCACTGACCTCATGGCTATGCTTGACATGCCTGAGATGAAAGGAGGACAAGTTCAAGAAGAATTCCTTGTCACAGCCAACAAGCTACATGAGACCTGGGCTACAGCTGAGCTCCGCAAGCTTTTGGATCTACAGGAAAACCCAGCGGTAAAAGACTTAGATCTACCGACAATCAATACCCTAGTTGCTAGCTTCCGTCAATTTCTCCGCATTATAAAACCCCAAGGATCGACCTTTGGAACATTCGGCGCCTCTCTCGGCATCGCTGACAGCAGCGGGTCTACCAAGGCCAATACTACCGAAGAAGGACCTAGCCAGAATCAGAAACCTCAAGCGAAGCATAATCATCCACCAGGCAAATGCATCTGTTTAGAAGAACATTGGTATTCAAACTGTCCCTACATCAATCCTGCAGTTCGCCGAGCAGGATGGACACTAGACCCAGAGATTGAAGCCAAGTTTAAAAAGGCTAAGAAGAATCCAAGAATTGCCAAGCAGCTTCAGAGAGCTGCGGAAAGGCAAAACGCGAAGGCTACATCCGAACCAACCACAACGCCTATTGCCTTTGATGCCCAAGCCTATGGCGATCATCAACCCCACAGCATGGCTTGTTCTTTTCAGGCCTTCTCTACCAATCATGTATCCAACCCACCTTACATCAACCGATGGATCATGGATCCTGGATCAAATGTTCACGTCATCAACTCCAAATCATGGAGATGGACCCACACTCGGTACAGTACAGCTGACGAAGCTTTGTACGCTGGCTCACAGTCAGTCTCTATCAGCGAATGGGGAAATGTTATCATTCCAGTCAGGACACCAAATGGTATACAGGACATCCAGCTTACCCACGTTGCCCTAGTGGAGGGTTTCTTTGCCAACATCCTCAGCCTCTCACGCTGCAAGGACATGAAGATTCATTTTGATTCTGGAAAGAATCACCTATACCAAGCGACTCCAAACAACGTTGTTGCTCTCCTAGACTACCACGCAGGTCACTGGCTCATAGACGCGGATGATGGGAAACGTCCAAACGCCAACTCACTGCAATCCATGGCTGCATTTAGGCCATCACATGATCCAAAGCCTCATCTTAAGGCTACTGCTACTGAAGCACATCACATCTGGGCCCACCCAGGGCCAGATACCATCCGCCATCTTGAAGCAGCTGTTCGAGGCTTCAAACTCCAAGGCAGTGATCCTCCACAATCCTGGAAGGAATGCGAAGACTGCATTCTTACAAAGATGAACAAACAGATCTCACGGCGTACACCAGACACGGTCTCTACTCGGCCATTCGAACGCATCGCTATTGACCTGGTATACCTAGTCCCTCAAGGAGAAGAATGCTACAACGGCGACAAATACGCTCTACACGCTGTCTGCCAATTCTCTAAGTGGCATGAGATCTCTTGCCTTCCAAATCGACTTAAAACCACTCTTATTCCCGCTGTCTTCAATCTCATTGAGAAGATCCAGCGACAGCTTGGCTACAAGTACGTTGTCATCATCATTAGATCTGACAACGAGAAAGGACTTGGTCGCGACTTTGCTGCAGCGTGCAAGAGCATTGGAATCAAGATTGAAACAACGGCTGAGAACACTGATGAGCAAAAAGGTCTCCAAGAGGCAGCAGGCAGGACTATTATGCAGCGCACTCGCGCTCTGCGCATTTCATCAGGACTGCCAAAAGACCTCACTAATGAGCTCGCTGTCGCAGCAGTACAGCTGCTCAACACTACACCAGTCCATTCACTTGGATGGAAGACATCTCATGAAGTTGTTTTCAATACAAAGCCCTCGGTAGCTCACTACTCACCTATTGGGTGCAGAGCCTATGTCTATCGCAGAGACATCAAAGCTGCTGACAAGACTGAGCCACGAGCTCACATCGGATACCTCGTTGGATACGACTCATCAAACATCTACAGAGTCTGGATACCGACACTCGACCGCGTAATTAGGACTAGAGACGTTATCTTTAAGTGGCAATTCTCTTATAAGGACGATAAACTCAACAACATCACTACAAACAAGATCACTGAACAAGAGGTAGAGACTCTAGATCTCGAACAACCTCATTTCACTGCTACTGCTAAAGATCTCTACACCACTGAGCAACTGGACCAGCATCTTGAAGAAATAGAGATTTCCGCCGCATATTCGGACAGAAGCCCAATGGACTTAACTAAAGGAACCATGAGTCCTTCACGCTCACCATCACAGTCCGCAACAATCAATTAAGTGGGTCCTAGAAGGTTCAGATTGGATTGATTGATTACCGCTTTAAGCCTAGTAGTTACCTATAGGAGTTTAAGCCCTACCTAGATAGGTAAGTGGGTCTAGGAGAGTGACCGGATTGAATTGATTGTTGCGGAGTCTACTCACCATCACCAACCAACTCAACAATAGCTGTCCTACAGCGCCCAACTCCATCAATGGAATCTCGCCATGCATACGACATACCTGGCTATCTCCCAGATCGGCACAACAACAATGCACCACAAGCTTTGCATCCAGACATTGGAGATTACAATGTAATTACTGGAAGCAGACGCAGCCGCGCTAAGAAGGGACAAGACAGAGTTTCATCAAACTTCTTTACCTACTATGGAACCTTTGCAACTTCCCTTCACCCAACACTCTATGAGAAGATTACAGCCATTACTCCAAAGACTAGGCTTCATCGAGATCAGATGCCTGAACCACCTAAGCGGTTCAAAGACGTCGTTTCTCATCCCCAGGCCGATTTGTACTGGAACGCCATGAAAAAGGAGATGGACGACTGTTGGAAGAAAGGTTGCTTCGAGAACACCAAAGTAACTCCATTCACTGCTGATGCAGAGACTCTGCCCCTCATGTGGGTATACACTAACAAGTTTGACGAAGATGGCTACTTCTTGAAAGCTAAAGCGCGACTTGTGGTCAGAGGTGATCTCCAAACACAATGGGGTGACACCTACGCTGCTACACTAGCAGCTAAAACCTTTCGAGCTCTCATCGCAATGTCAACTAAGTTTGGACTACTTATGTTCCAATACGATGCCATGAACGCATTTCTCAATGCTCGGGTACCTAGGAAACTGTACTGCAACACACCTGAAGGCTTCACAACTCAATTTGGAGCTCTGCTTCTCCTCCGCCGAGCCTTATATGGCCTAAAGGAAGCACCTCTACTATGGTACCAGGACCTGGCCAACACACTCCAAGATCTTGGCCTCAAACAAATCCCAAATACGCCATGTCTCTTTGCCAACAACAGTCTTATTGTCTTCTTCTATGTTGATGATATAGTTGTCCTCACAGTTGTCAACAAGCAAGTCAAGCCGACTTGATTGTTATCGATAGTGGCAAACAGACCATAGGGATAACCGTGCACGAGGACACGTCCCATAGGATGGTCTGATCCCTTATCGATAGAGACTTGATTGAGACTTGACTTGCTTGTTGACAACTGTGGTTGTCCTAGTACATCCATCGAAGCTGGACATCCACAAGGAATTCCAGGACAAGCTCTTCAAGAAGTATGAGCTTAGATCGATGGGTCAACTCAACTGGTTCCTCGGTATACGCGTAGTTCGCGATATCTCTCAACAATCAACTTGGCTGATTCAAGACGCCTTTATTGATAAGGTAGCACATAAGTACAACTTGATGGAAGGAGCAACTACCTTACCTGATTTTCCAATGGCTGAAACCAACCTTGAGCCAAACACTGTGGTAGACAAAGCACTAAAGAAAAGATACCAGCAATTAGTTGGCTCCTTAGCCTACATCTCAGTGTTCACAAGACCTGACATCTCACTCACCCACTCAATTCTCTCCCGGTATCTCAACAATCCTGGAGAACAACACCTACGCGCTGCAATTCATGCCTGGCGCTTCTTGGTCAAGACACGCAATTTCGCCTTAAAAGCCTCAGCACTCACTCCTGACAACACTGGTTACTCAATCCCCGGGACTGCTTTTAACCCTGAGCCTATCTTCTTTGGAGCTGCAGACGCTTCATTTGCAGACGATCTGTCTACTAGACGTAGCTCAGATGGCTATCTATTCAAGCTCTTTGGAATGCCAATTGACTGGAAAGCTACGAAACAACGGTCTGTTACAAAGTCAACTACAGAAGCCGAACTCTACGCTCTCAGCCGTGCTGCGTCAGAGTTCATTTGGTGGAACAATCTCTTTGATCAGCTTAATTTCAAAACAGACATCACCCCAGTCATCTATTGTGATAACAAGCAGACAGTGGGAATTGTGACAAAGGCCACAGAAAGACTTCAAACCAAGCTCAAACACGTCGATATTCACCAACTCTGGCTACGTCAAGCAGTTGAGAGAGGAGAGGTGAATGTACAATGGATTTCTACTGCCCAAATGCCTGCAGACGGTCTTACAAAGGCACTACCAAAGCAAAAGCACGTTAACTTCACACGTCAACTAGGACTTGAGGATATCACTAAACGTCTCCTCAGTCTTCACAACAACTAAAACTCCTGAACTACCCAGCAATACAGCGGGCTGGTTCTAATACATGGACTTTATTCACTCCTTTTCACCTTTAAACTGGAGACAGCTACCTTAGTCTCTACACTACAGCCTTACGCTTCACTACAGTCTGGGGGGGTGTGTTGCACGCTAGCAGGGCTATCCCTACACTCTCTCATTCCTCACATATATATAGCTTCCCTCGTTCATAGCTATACAATCAACTCAGTCCTTCATCTCTTCTTCCATATCACATACGTGAGATTGTCGCTTCGCTAATCCTGAGGACTTTGATCGTTGGGGGGAAAATCTTGCGTGGGTCTGGTGACTCTCCAAGAATCTCATAATCGTGCAAAAGCGCTTCCATGGTGATGCCGACTTCTGCCAGATGCTGGAAAGGTCGCAAATCAAATACAGTCGATGTGCCAGGAAACTCGAGAGTTCTCATATCCGCAGGGACCTCCAGAACTGTCAAACGTGAATATAGCAGATCAAGCGGACCAGCGAGAAAGCTATACATCCACGTCTTGGGGATAGGTTGGACTTGAGTAGCGAGCATGTTACTGAACATGGGGAAGTCCATCAACCAGCCCTGACCTAGCCTCAGTTCCTTGAGATTGGGTAGCGTGCAGATAAGGATACCAAAAAGGGCGGGTATGACATCCTCATCTAATGCTCGCATCCACATGTCCCGATCCTTCTCGTTACGCGCAAAACGCTTCACAATGGCCCTACATTGTGTCATGCATTCGAACGCTGAGGTCATCTCCTCGGGTGCTTTGACGGGGTTGTATCCCAGTAGCATTGGTGGAGAATCCTCATCATCGTACGCTATGCGACCTTGGCTCGTGCTCCAGATCTCCATACTCTTCACTCGCTGTATTAACTTCGGTCTACGACTCAACTCACACATGTACTCGTAGATATATGTGATGTTGAAGCGTGGTTCCTTAACTAGCCATTCTTGTGCAACCATGCGCCATCTCGGTGATACAAGCGCAAGGTTCACGAGGTCGATCTCCCGACTCAAGCCGGTAAACTGAGCGCCGATATGGAGAAGAATTTCGTCTGGAAGGTCGTTCAGGGTGGTGCCAGCGTCCACAGCGGCAACGGTACTTGAAGGCTGTCGGAACATGGTATGCGGGCTGCAGTAGGATTGCGGGTTTGTGAAAAGGCAAGGCTGCTTATGTACGATTGGCGCTGATGGGTAAACATTTACGTCATTACGTCATTTGTAGGCGCGTAAGTAGCACGTTATCACGTGCGAGACGCCACTCACTCAATTTATTGTGCAGCATAATGAGCTTGATAAATGCAGTATTATTACAGTTCTACAAATCAACAAGACTGTGAAATTATAGAGCTCTATCAGGTGTTTGAAAACCACAGGGAGATACGGCTTAGACTTATTCTGTAAGATATACCCTTCCCCCCTTTCTAGTGCCATTCCCCCGCTTTGCTACAGCCTCGCCAAGTCATGTCACATCTTCAGAGCCTTGAATTCCAGCAGAGACTTCCACTCAATGTGAATCCAATCGACAATCCGGAAACTGGAGTCAGTCGTGGTCGTTTCATGCGAGAGGTTGCTTCGACCAGGTCCTACTCGCAGCCGCGTCATGGGATCCATCAAGCTTTTCACATAATTTTCCCCTCCAGATGCCTGCGTTCCTTGGTAGGCTTTCTTGAATCCTTCTGTACTTTCTTGGGTCTTTGTGCTCAATCTTCTCTCGACTTGTTGCGTGCGAGCGTTCTCTGGGAACGTGAAAGTCGCACCTAAGAATGAGATCTCCTTAGGCAGTTGGGTGCAATCGTTTGAAACCCGGAAGCAGAAGTCGAAGGTATCCAAATCTATGAATCAGTTAGTTATGTAACCATACTTCACTACCAATGAGGCTTACTACGCAGCGCCGGGAAACTCCTAGTGATCCAAGCCTTCACAAATTTCCCTCGGGAACCAACCAAGCGGACCTTTGCTTTGCAATCCTGCAATTGAGGGTCCCATCTAGTGTTTTTGACACCATGGAAGAACGCGCCCTGTATCCACGATGTTGCTTCGAAAGTAGGGCTGTTGAAAAGTTGGAAGTGGTGACCCACATGTCGTAGGAAGAGACGGCTAGCGATGGTAGAAGAGCGGCGTTTCACACTACATTGGCGGTTCAACGCTGTGAAAGGTACACGCGACAAGGCAAACCGCCAGAGCTCCATTGGCGAGATGGCGGATAGTGTCAAGAGCTCTTGAAGCATATCAAGAGGTACCTCTTCCGGACCAGTGTAGAAGCTGATCTTGATACCCTTGCGAGCGAGTTCCATCAGTACCCGACTGTAGCTAAATCGGCCCTCATCCACGATCGTACACTGCGCGACAATTTGTTGAGGTCCTATATTGAAGAAAAGCTCAATATGCTTAAGCTTGAAATCTTCTACAGGAACACTGTTGATACTCTGAAGGAATGCGAATGTCCACTTGCCACAGGATCGTAAATGTAAGTATCTGATAGTAAGTGGTATGACCTTTGTTCTTGACACTTGCGACATGTTGATTTTGCGGACTGAGCTTGGGCTTGCTGCATCGGCTGCTTTATCCCGCATCGTATCAGTCGGTCGGGTTGGGTCGAGGAATACGATGGATTGCGGTCTTCCCAAAGCGCTCATGGGTACATCCAAGCGTTTTAGTTTGGAGAAACCGGCTAGGGTAATGGTATGGGTGCCCATATTCCTCCACGTGAGATCTTGTGCCTCTAAGATCTCCACAGTAGCAGGGCCTTTCCATCTAGTGTTTTCTGCAATCGTAAGGACTTCGAGCCGTTGTTGCATTATCCTGAGTGCCGGACCTTGAAACGGAGCGACGGGTAGAAATTCTGGATTGGGAGAAGGTAGGCTATAGGGAGCCAAATGGATAGGGCGTGGCGGTTGACTTGAAGTAAACACGCTGGCTTCTGGGAGCTCAATCTTGACGGACTTGATATTCGGGCAAAGTGATGCTAGCACGTTAATGAAGAAAGCTTGGGGTGCGCGCCATACACCCCCAGAACTTCGCTTTTCTTCTCGAATATGATTCCACTTCACCAAATTATTGGTGTTTGCGGCTATTGCCCTGCCGATCACTTCCAGGACTTGCTTGTCGAGACTAGGTTTACCTAGACAGAGGCACTTTTGATGGTGAATACACCCAAAGTCGCCTAGATCAACATGGGAAACTTTGTCGATGAGTTCTGGATGATTCCCGAGCATTCCGATAAACGCTCTTATCTTCCTCGATACAATAAGCTTTCGCGCGGTGGCCTGGCGGACGACTCCATGTATTCGACGGTTGACAAGCCCAAATTCAATGACAGATTGGGTTCCGCAGAGCTCAAGAGCTATCGCCTCCAGTATCTCGCATGGTAGATCGAGAAGACCGATACGCTGTCTATGTTGACGGGTTTGCTCGTCTTTTTCTGGATAGGCCTTCAAACGATGTTGTGTTGCAGCGGGCAAGCCCATGAGGGAAGATTCCGGTATTGTTGTTTCGCGTGGGAGGTGAAGATTGGCGATACCCAAACCAGGACTCGCTACACGCCTCTTCCTAACACTAGAATTGAGTGGCGTTGATGGTGCCATCGCGGCAAGGGACGAGGTTGAGTTCCTTCGGGGCGTTGAGGCGGGGTGTTAGTGTTGGAACGGGTGGGCACCCAGCACAACAAGTAGGAGGTAATGCGCACTTGACTCGCTTGAAGGTCGCAACTGTGGCAATCGCGGTCCCTGCAGATGACCAACACACGGTGACGTAATAGGGTGAATGTAGTGGGGCGTCGCGTGTGAAGCTTTTGGACTCTTTAGAAAGCCTGCAGCGGTTGCGTGCTCTGGAGGGGCTCGGATATGTGACGATGCATGCCTATGCTGGTAGGGATGCTCGTTGATTGCATAGTGGGAGGAGTGACACGTCTATGCCAAGACGCTAGCCTGCGATCAGGAACCACCCGACCTCTTTGACTTCTACACATGCACTGCTGCCCCACAAATCGATTCCATCGCTCTAGCTTCATTAGTTCACAGATCTACTAATCTTACCAATATAGAAGTTTCGGAGGAACTATCTAGGTCGACCATCAATTGTATTGTCGATGAGTCATTCATTCTACCGGTAACGCCCTACCGCACATTTCACGACCACACAATCCCATCAGCCCTTTAAATGTCCTCAGCGGCACCCTCCGCCCTTTATCCCACAAAATTTTACTAGACAACCCTATCTTTTGACTCCGTTGTCGCGCCCTAAACCCACCAATTTCTCAATATCCTCAACCTCGCAAACCTCGTTGTCGCCGCACATTCTCTAAGAACGGTAACTTCTGAATTCCTAGATCACGTCCAGGTATCTTATCATTCAATAAGATCTGCTACTTCTCCCTCGGTGTCACTCTAATAAAATGTGAAAGTGCTGGCTTGGATGGAAAATGGTCATTGACGTTGATAGCCGGGGGTGTAGTGACCTTGTTACCTTGTTTATCCTCAAGATCAAAGTTGAAGTTGGTCACAAAGAACGCGGTGATGAGATTTTGCTCTAGTTTGGCAAAGCGCATGCCTAGGCAAGGGTGTCGTCCTGAACCCCAACCAACGAAGTCATGGGCTTTAGTGTCTTGTGCGTGCTCCGGCAGGTAACGGGACGGATCCCACTTGTACGGATCAGGATAGACTTCATGGTCGAAATGAATATCGCCTACAGGATAGACCGCAACTGCCCCTGGTGGAATCACCTCGTTATTGTTGCCTGTGGGTATAGGTTTTCCGCTTATGTTCCGCCTAAATAAGTTGCTGGATATTCCGAGACGCATAGAATCGCGTAGGCACATTTCGATGATGGGGAACTCCGACTCCCACGCTTCCAAGGGAACGTCTTCAAGCTGCCTGACCAACGGCATATTCGGATCCTTGGCGTATTTTGCAGCAACCCCACATACTTCATCCCTCACCTTTTTCTGCCACTCTGGTGAGGTTGCAAGATAGATGAGAACCTATACAGAAGTCAGTACATGTACAATTCAAGTATGCAAACGTAGTTGTACTAACCCACGCGGCGTTAATGCCACTGTTGAGTACTCCAGCGAACAAGGCCGCAAGGATGAACCGGACTATATCGAGAGTGCTACTACCCTGATCCTGCAGGAACTGCAAAGCATCATCGTACTTCTTTCCAGTTGTCTCACGCGTCTTGATAATTTTTGCCACAATCGAAAATAGTTGCGCTCCCGCAAAGTACCGCTTAAGAAGGGACGGCGAGGGAAACTTAGGGAAGCAGATCGTTGTAGCATTCGAACTCTTGTCGATTATTCCGAAATTCTTTGCAAACGCTTCTAGCAAACCCTCATTCTCAACAATCTCGTTTGCACCTAGCGTACGGATGGTAAGACGAAAGACGATGTTATAAATACTCGTAAACGGATCAGTACAGCCACTTGGATCTTGCTTAATGGCTTCGATACCGTCTTTGGTATCAGATATGAGGGTAGCTAATCTTTTTTGAAGATGATCGCTTTTCAAGAGGTTTACTATCTGACGATTGAACCACGGTGTCAAGTCAGGATCAGACCGGATCTGGGCACGGGTGCTGGAATTCGGACCGCCTCCAAACAAGACATCGTAGCCTTTAGTGAAGGACAGACCCTTGGACTCAAAGAAAGTTCGCCGTCCATTTTCACCACAAAGCCCGATGACCAATCTTGATCCCGCATGGAAGGAGAAGTTGCCGGTCTTTGACCGATCGCGTTTTTCCTGGCACCAATCCCATCGTCGAGTAAACCAGCCAGATGCACCGGTTATGGGGAGGTCGTCGTCGACTTGAGGGGGCGAATTTGCGGGGATTTTGTGAGCGTAGGACTGATATAGTATGGCGCAGGTGTATAGAACTACGAATGAAAGGAGGAAGAGAAGTAGCGTTTTTGGTTCAGCGAAGTCCCCAATCACGCCGGGAAGCGCCATAATGCGTGAATCTGGTGCTGCTGTTGATGCGGCAGAAATGCGACAAGGAATGGGAAGCAAGCTTAAGTACGCAGAAGCGGCCCAGCAAAGACCGGTCGGACTAGGCTAGCACCTTGGCCGGGCCGATTGAGACGAGAAGGCGGGAAGCGGGTGCCAGATATACATACTTAGACCTCTTTCAAGCTTTCCCCAGGTATACCGCAGCCGTGATTGTTGTTTCTTACCGAAGCTCTTTCGCAACTCGGGTACCTGAAATGAAGCATTTATTCAGTGAATGCGCAGAATCGGCAATTGATAGTCTGAGTACTGCGACATGTTACTTGTAGCATTCCCCACGTATGCACATGTCTTGGGCACCCGAATTCGCATCGGTCCAACTTGTATACGCAACCACTCAGAGCCCAGGTAAAAACCATTGTTGGCCGTGATTCGGCCCGAGATACGGACGTAATACGCAGCAACGCATCCGTAATGATCCGCTCAGGGGGAGCACGTGCACAAGATCTCCCAGATGAGAATCATAACAAGAACAAGCGCATATATTATTCTTTCACCATAGTTGTAAGAGATAGATATCTTGTCAAGATCGTCACTTCGCTCTATGCATCTTAAAAAAACTTCAAAACATCGAAATGATTACATAGACTTCCTTCATACCGATCGTCGCGACAGGGGACTCCATAATCCAGATTCAGCGAGAAAACGTTCCATTGGTGCCACTCCATTGTATGCATCTTCCACATATCTTTCCAACTTCAGCTCCTCTGTGTTGTTGGCTTGTGCGTTGTAGCCTCCCCTAGATGCCGCAAAATCTTCCTGTCCTATTCTACCTGTACCACCTGCAAAGGCACCGATTCCTAGCAATTCCTCCTTGTTCTTGCAAGCATTTGCTCCCAACATGGGCTTCGATGGTTCGGAAGGGATGGGCAAAACCACCGGCTTCTTTTGCAAATGTCGCTCTGGTGTGAGCGTTGGGAGGCTTTTTCGGTAGCTAGGACATTCAACGATGACACCATCGGGGCGCTCAATGACTCGAAACGTCCTCTTTCGTCGTTTGGACTGGTTGACACCTGTCACTGTAACTCTAAGGTCCGCAGTAGAAGGGATAGCAATGTTGGCCTGGACGTCTTTCTGGGCTGTATCCACAGGAAGTTCTTGAGATGACCGCATCTTTTATTGTTGACAAAGATAGATGAGAAGATGTTGCTTTGATCGGCGTGTAATTGATGGAGGTGGATGTATATCACGGTCATTTGCATCCAGATATATATATGCTCACCTTCGCATCGCTACAACAATCATACGTAGCCTGTCGCCAGTATACAGAGTCCAGAACTTTCTCATCGAGATCCCAAACTCTCCACATTTGCCTATTGACCTCCTCTTGCACGACCAGCGCAATACGAAACAGCTGCCTCGCGCGCGCATCAGGCCTGATCTACTTCCAAGCAGACCATAACTACATCATGTCTTGGGGTTGCAGCCACAGTATCGGCGGTCTAGACCCTCAGCGCGTCCTGGGGTCGTCTGTAGCCCTATGACGGGTAAATTGCCGAGAGCACAATTAACCTTCCCCATGCCTTCTCTATATTGAGACCGTTGGACTACCGCGAGTCCGTGGTCTAGATCTCTGGATGGATCGTCGCATCGAAAAGCCTCGTCGCACGTCGCGGTGGTGGGCGGGTACGCATCAGCTGCAGGCGCATCCGCAGTCAGCACAGCCCTCGCGCAGCATCGCGACAATGATGTCATGTACCAGGCTGGCAGCTTGCAAGGGCTCACTGTACGTTCTCGCGGTCTTCGGAATTGGGGGCGTAGATAGGCAAAGGTCTAGATTCCTGAAGTCGTGGGGTAAGAAAGCTGAAGGATGGAAGGCAAGAAGGGGTAGGGAGCAAGTGGGGCAGGCGATGATGTCATCCGGGCCTTTGGCTAAGACAACGAGAAGCATCACTCCTTCACACCATAGCATCGCTTGTTCAACCCCGAGGTACCATTCTGATAGCCTCTAAACCGCTTCAATACCTTCGCATCATTATTAGATTTAGAGGTCGAGAGACAAAGTTTCTGTTAGTGGTTGACTGGAAAACTCATTGACTGATCTTGGAAGAACAGTACCGCTCGATTGTATGTAGTCGGACTTCAAGGCGTTGAGGGAACACTGCTATCGCAGAATCAAGGCCACGCTCGTGCATCGGCTAGCCTTGTTTCTCGTTCTCCTTAGTCCGGTGTCTAGAGCAACGACTACAACGACTCCGTTCAAGTAGAAGTCGCCCTTCCTGATCCTTACTCTCCCATTTACTGATTGCTGCCTAATGCTTCCTGGAGAAAAAAATAAATCTAATCTGCTTGTAGCATGCGCCATGATTCTCTCGGGTCTTGTGAGAGATAGAGATCTTTCCCAATTTGCGGCCCATTCCCGCGGTGGAAGCCAAAATGCGAAAATGAGTAACACTTGGCAATGGCCGTTCTCCATGTCTAGGTAATTTACTTTCTTCTAAGAACGATACAAATAAGGAATGAATGCTTTGGCCTCCAGGTGAGCGATAGGACGAGACTAGTCAGCTACAGGATTTGCGAAATTCTTATACTTGCACTAGCATTCAGGGTGCTCTTGGCAGGTCATATGCTTGGCTCGTGCTTATGATTCACTATCGATACTTCCGGACTCGCTTGTAATGATAAATACCGCCCCTCCCCACTAGGCTCGCCACGCCACTTCTGCTCACCTACCAGTCTACCTCAATCTCGACGCCTATCTCCAGATGCAGATGCACGATGGCGATGACATACCGTACAAAGCACTCTTCCCGTACATTCACCCGCTTCGGGGAAGCGACCGACGAATCAGTTCTCGCAGCGTTGGGCAGCTTCTGACACCTCTGTCAGGACCCGAAAACGTATCTGCTACAGATCCTTGGCCACTCCAGAATACTTGATCAACCGGATGAGATACTTCTACAGATCGCACTTTCTCTTGATGATTCTACTCGCAACCGGGATCTCTACCACTTAGCGCTCACATGCCGCCGCTTTAGAAACATCGCAAACGATGCGCTTGTGTGTAACGCGGTTGTAATCCCGAAATGCCTGCCCGGTTATCTATCCGCTCTGTTCCAATACCCCCTGCGCCTTGCGAGGACTGCTTCCCGTTTGAACTTGTATGATGTCGACTACGACAAATACAAAAAAGGGTTCCTCAACAGTACTATTCCCTCAAACTAGTTGCAACAAATGTATTTAGAGAAGCAGTTCGACATTTGGCTCCACAAGCAGTCTTCCGCGCTCATTGCAGAATTACATGCATGGAACTTAACGCCTGGATGGAGTACACCGCTGGACATTGCCCACCCGGATATGTCTGCTTATGTGGCAATACTAATGCTTGTGTTATGTCAGCCTGGCACCTCGGTTCACCTGGTACACTGTGAACTGTATCTCACGTGACTCCTCGTCACCTGCTTACTCATCTTAGTTGTGTATATAATCGCTCTGTGTAGCTCACTCAATACTACAACCTTCTGCCTCTTTTCTGCTCTGTTCTCCCACATACAACATGTTACCTAAGATCGAGGAACTCTCTCTAACAGATTCACTCATACGAGTCATCCCAGCCTTTCATGACTCTATGATGCAGGACGTGGATCGGGGTCGGGGAAGTTGGTCCCCCCGGCACGATAGTCTTACCCCTACTTCCGGATCGACATTGGTATTCCAAAGGTTCCTAGCTAAAATAACAACTCTGAACGTATTTCCGTTCAATGAGTTATTGTTACGACCGCCATATCTCAAGTTCACCGACTTTTCCGGCCTGGAGCATCTCGCAGTTCCAGCCATCAGTATGGCCTCTGCAATCTCGAGCCCAGCGTCTTCTCTTCCACCAAGTTTGAAGTCACTTCGTCTATTTGTGAAAAGATTCGAATTTGTCACCCAATTCACCACCCGGACTTGGCTAGCCGACCTTGTGGCGAGTAGAGATGAGTTTCCCGTCCTTGGGTGTGTTCAGTTGTACATCAAAGAAAAACTGGCAAAATCACTAGGCGTTGGAATCCGTACACAACGAAGTAGCTTCGGGATCTTGAAAGACTTCGAGACTAGCAGCGTGAGTATAGAGCACTATTTCCTCAAACCCGAGACGGAGACGGTGCATATGAACGATTATGCGTCATCGTCACGGGACCGGATTGACAATAAGAACCTGATCAGCTACCGCCAAGTCTGCCACAAGCACGGAATGTTAGACTCCGCAACAATCAATTCAATCCGGTCACTCTCCTAGACCCACTTACCTATCTAGGTAGGGCTTAAACTCCTATAGGTAACTACTAGGCTTAAAGCGGTAATCAATCAATCCAATCTGAACCTTCTAGGACCCACTTAATTGATTGTTGCGGACTGTGCGGAATGTTCACTAAGTATAATCTGGACGACAAATATTGTAACATGCTCTCCTCTGCATGTTGCAAGCCGGCAAATACAACTTTGTATATATGTCACTTGGCCCTGGAATGGTTATGAGAACGAACAAAGAGATGAATCCTAACACCGTTTTCCAACAATATCATGGACGAGCCAACAAGACCCCTGTCACATGTTCTTTCAACGGTACAGAAACTACTTCTTCATCCTGGTTAGCCGGGCGGACCTTACTGAACAAGACTGCTGGATCTGTCGAAGCACATACTTTACATGGAGAGGAGACGGCGACGATGGTACTAGAACATGCTCATGCACTAGAATATGCCCATGCGTTCCAACCAAGTTATCTTGTACACATGTCGTCGGTCAACCCTGCTTTGATATATACCCGAAAGTCACGCGCGACATCGAATGGTCCCCAATGTTTCGGCAAAACCTCCCTTCCCCCGTGTTCAAAAACCGGTATTCATTCATTTTCGAATCGATATGCCGTACGCGGTTGTTCTCCTGGCACGAACGCAAACTTTTATGAACACACCAATCAACAACATACTTGTCATACTGGGAGCTGAGCATGGTTTTCCGTATGGAGTCATAGTATACTTGAGTTCTTGGGATTTCATTTCTTTATTGGTTGGGGGGCGTTGGACGCACTTGCACACTTGATGGCGTCTGCGTTCGTTGTCTTAACAGCATATGAGCAAGCGATATGGCAACTCGATCTCAAGGGGAGACATGGAAATGACTGGCGATGAATTTAAGGTTTGAATCTAAACAGGTCTCACGAACCAGACAAGCAAACTCCCCTAAAATGTTCTATATTAAGTGATGTCCTATACTAGCACAACCGCTAACCCCGCCTCTAACCCGAACACCCATCCAACCATTCCCCTGACTATCGAACCAGTATCCCCAAAGCAGTAACATATCCAGTGCCTTAGCGTATTGATATCTGTGTGACGTATTAAGGTGCAGCGACACAGTGGTGACTACCAATGCAGTGCGTGCAGCAAGTCCTAGAATCACCAGGGGCAGCATTGCCGCAAGGAGCTAAACATTCGCCATTAGCAAATCTCTTACATCATTCAGTTGAGTAACACTTACACCAACTTGGCAGGCAGTGGTTTGTGCAAAAGGTCAGCTCCAAATCCGTGCTGGCATCGCAGTTCTTGATCTGGCTGCCACCAGTAGGCTTTCCACCATACCAATTGATGCTCGGGCAGGCAGGGTCCTTGGGCTTGAGTGTCATAGTTCTGCCTGCAAAGCCGTCGCCGAAGATGTCGCTCATGTCGTACCAGATCTGATTGGCGTCGAGGTTGTAGGCAAAGATGGTTTGACTGACGTTGGGCTTGAAGATGCCGCCTTCGACGGCGGTCATCTTGAGGGCAATACCACCGGACTTGGGGTCTTTGGTGAAGGTCTCGCTGTAGGATTGGTCCTTGGTAATAACTTTCTGCTCGCCGATGCTGCCACCAACGGACCAGAGGTAGATGGGCGCATCACATTGGTTGGTAACGATAGCGCGACCGACAGCCTGGGCGCCGGCGATGAGAGAGACGAGTGTGATGGCGTTGAGGAGCATATTGAATATTGTTTGAAGTGAATGTTATCGAAGAAGATAGCTTTCGTGTTTGTGTTCTGATGCCTCCTTTCCTGTGCGATCATGGCCATCTTTATATCTCGTCTCATGCTCGCCAATTCTCGAGTCTCAGTTCCAGGCTCCTGGCGCCCAGCTCTACGGCGTGAGCGATTCGTATCCAGAGCTGTCACCTCACCGCTCGTGAGAATTGTCTTGGATACTGTGATGGCATGATGTAACCTGAAGAGCGCACGGAGTAACGAGACTCGAGGCGCATCTTTCAGGGATGACGAGGCTGATAGGGCGGTATTTTCAGCCGCAATAACGCAGCGCGGGGTATACGAACACCCAATTACCCGGTCCTACATCTGACATGACGCTTATTGGCACTTTGCGATCAGCTGGTTCCATGACATGTGGTGGAGTTACACGCGAGGTTCCTAATGGATATCGAATAGCGATGCAGACCTCGATTGGCGGCGACATGTGGTTAGTGACAGCAAGTAATGAAGGCGCATAGCGCAAGAAAGCATCTATATCAGGTAACAGAAATACGAGGACCGTATTCTTAGCGAGGGGGTTTGAGACTGAAGTTGAGAAAACAAGATTTGGAAAGAGACGGAAAGACAGAACCTATCAGCCGTCAGTGCCGCGACCGCCACACCAGCCACGATGAAGTAAGCCGATACAGCTATCTTACGCCAGAGACTCTCCAAACCCAGACATACAGCTCAGCCTCAACATCTCCCCGTGATCTAGTGGAACCACGTTCGCGAGATCCCTACCAAGCCATGCGGTGAGTATAATTTTCCGTAGATTTTAATGCTTGGCAGACCATGTCGGTTGGTTCTCATAGGAGAAGAGAGTATATATACGATGTATAATAATAATCCTGAGGTTGCATTGGAAATCGGTTGCTGGAGCAGGCCAGCATGGTGATGGTCACATGGCCAGCTGCACTTTTGGAGTATCTCAAGTTGTGGATCAGCGTCCGTCTTCTCAGTTTTGCCGATACTGAGGCTATGGAAAACCATCTGCATCGCTCGAGGGAGTCGCAATACATTGCATTGAAGAACTAGCGATGATGATCAAAAGTCGTTGTCGTGATCTCATCCCAAAGTGTCTTAGGTCGATGGTAAGGTTTTTACCTGGCTTACGGACGGAGTGAAAGCCCCTCTTTCCTAAGAAGCTAAGCTTATCTTGGTAATGCGCTAGCCTCTTTTCACAGGTGCTGGAAGACAGGATCACCCCAGATACACGGCCAACTTCATTCAAAATTCTCTACTTCCTGTATCTAAACAGAAATATGTCACGAGGAAATCATATGGGTAGCGATCAACGTAATGTTGATATGTCTTCTTCATCGTCTACTCTTCATTCGACACTGTCCCACTCTAGCCAGGGAGCAAGGTGCCGAAGGAGGCACACACTTTTTCCAGTTGCACGCGCATAGCAAACATTTCAACAAGACAGCACGTACATACTCAGAGCGCAGCGCTAAGTGATGATCCGTACTGGGGTCGTGTTCCCTTCCCTCAACCATGCCACGTGCGCCAGCTTTAGCGGCGACGTCATACCTACATCACCCTCCGCGGGATACTTCTCTTCTCCCTTCGCGCCCAGCATCGTCCCAGGATGAGGCTCCGAGCTGTTTCAGGGGCAGCCGGGTGCGCCTTTCTGTACGCTTGTGATGGATATTGCCTGGGTGTTGCTTGATGGTTGTAGTCCGCCCTCCAGCTACTCCATCAACTGCGCTACTAACTACAGCACTTGTAACTACCGAAACCTTTTTACCCCAGGCAATTAACAAAGATCACTATGGTGGGAAAAAGCCAAAGAGAGAATAGCGCGTTGCACACCGATCGCGTGAGGCTCAACTATCGACGGCACAATGTTCGATGTGTTTAACGTGCACCCCGATCGACCTGCATACACACCGTTTCGGGACACCTCCCATGCTGGGCATGACACCTTGACTTTTTTCACCTGTCTTGGCCCTACGTATGGATGAAATGCCAATTTGACGTCAAGCAATCTGGGATTTGCTTCGCCCTGACTGTCGGAAATCACGCGCAAATAAAATCAACAATGCCCTCGTCACCGCCAGCACCTGTTTCCCGCTCGGAATCGACGAATTCTTTGATGCTTGGCTCCTCTTCTTCTACCGACAGTAATATGTCTTCGCGCGCCCGACCGATCAAACGGCGCCCTCGGCCCGCACAGAGAGAGGACTACAATCCTACGTATCTACCATGGAAACAGCGCTTGGACCACTTCACCTGGTCGTGGTTTGAGTGCACCATGTCGACGGGCGCAATCGCAACGCTTCTTGGTCAACAACCATACAGCTTCCATGGACTGAAGACGATTGGAAAGATCTTCTTCATTCTCGACATCGTCCTATTCCTCGCATTCAGCGCCTGCATCACCTACCGCTTTATACACAATCGGGGCTCGTTAACGCTCAGTCTACACCACCCTCACGAGAGCTTCTTCTTCGGCGCCTTCTTTGTCAGCATCGCGCTCATAATATACTGCATCGAGTTGTATGGCGTCCCAGCGTGTGGACCATGGCTCATCAAAACGTTGGAAATTCTGTTCTGGCTGTACGCGGCCATTGTGATTTTGGTCGCGGTATTCCAATATCACGTCATCTTTGATCGAAGAGAGCTGCCAGTCACCGGCGCTATGCCCGCATGGATCTTGCCCGTGTACCCGTTTCTTGTTCTTGGTGTCTTGGGAGGAACGTTGTTGAAGAGTCAGCCACCCGGGCCTGGATTCAACATCTTCATTGGCAGCGTCACATTCCAGGGCCTAGGCTGGACTATTGCGTTCTTGATGCTTACGCTGTACTTCACACGTTTAGTCAACAGTAAGCTCCCCGAGATACCTAAGCGACCAGGAATGTACGTCGCTGTAGGTCCAGCGGCATATACAGCGAACGCATTCATCTCGCTTGGCATGCAGGCGCCCAAACACGTCCCCGAAGACTTATTCGGCATCACATCATTCCCCGTAGGCGACGCGTTCAAGGCCTTCGGACTCATCGCTGGCATCTTTCTGTGGTTCATATCCTTTTGGTTCAGCGCCATCGCAACCGTGAGCATCATCATCAGCGCCAAGGAGTCGCACTTCACGCTGAACCACTGGGGCTTCATCTTCCCCAACGCTGGAATGACCATCGCTCTCATCTACATTGCCAAAGCTTTAGACAGCCCAGGCATCAAGGGTGTCTGCAGTGCAGCCACCATCGTCCTTGTCATGCTCTGGATCTGGGTCGCCATCCTCAACGTGAAGGGTGTGATCCAAAAGAAGGTCCTCTGGCCAGGCATGGATGAAGACATGGAGGATATTGAAGGCCACGGTCACAAACCCGGTGAAGAGCAGGAAGACAGCGATGGACAGGTGTAAAACAACAATGCTGCTTACTTTCGTTCCCCTTGCACGATACCCCCTCTATACCATCTACACAATGACTTCACGACTACACACACATGATCAATTAAATCATCATATGCGACATAGCGATGACCCCAGCACTCAACGTACCTATCATTACAATTCCATTTTCTTTTTTCCAAATTTCTAAGAAGCGCCATTGGCTCACAATGTCGCGTTCCATGGCAAGTGTTCTATCAGAACCATGGTAGACTTCACGCACCCTTAAACGTAGATTTTGCATACATAATGTTTCAATTGAATTTCGCTATACGCTTACAGCGATGCACTGCAAAATGCTAGAAAGTTTTATTTATATATGCCACATAGTCAACATTATTTCACCACTCATCTCGAAAACTCTCTACAACATGTCTTACTACAATGTCTACCCGAACCCAACCATCGACTACGTCGTTTGCAGCGACTGCGACGCCGCCACCTTCGCCTGGCTAGCAGACGTGTTCCCATGTGTCGAATGCGGCAGCGAGAACTTTGAGTTGCCTGAGTCCACATTAGCAGCGGAGGACAACAAGGAGACGGAGGATGGTGCTAGGAAGCGAAAGCGGTCAGAGAAAGATGATCGTCATCGTGGAGGAAAGCACGGTTGAGAAGGTGAGACAATCAACTTGGTGTACATATAGATTGCTAAGAAGATGACTTTTCTTTTGTAGCTGCGATACATGCGAATATATTTTAAAAGAATCGCCAGACGTCTGCATGCCAGCGACGCCTTCCCAGTACCCAACGCGATGAAACAAGTGACAAATGAAAACAGGTGTTAAACCAGATAAAGTGGTATAGACCATGTGCCTGCAACCGCGGCGGTAGTCAAACAACAGTAGAAACTCCATCAACTACCCTTCCATAACAAAGCTTTACTGCCCATTATGATCTCAGACTCTCTCGCTTCTTGAATCCAATCTTCTTTGCTAGATTACCAAATGCGCCACTCTTCTTGTTATTAGCTTTCTCCTCGGCCTTCATCTTGCCCTTGTCGCCCCAAGGGTTCTGCAATTCCTTCTCAATCTGCTTCTTGCGCGCGACAGCCAGGATGCCGACCTGATCCGCGAACACGGACTGATCGAGCAAGTCCTCGACCCTAACTTTCAAACCATCTTGGTCGAGGATGGAAGCGACCTGAGCTAAGCCCATAATGTCGCCTCCGAGCTGGAAGAAGTCGGAGCTGAGTTCTATGTGGGTAGGGGTACCATGATCGTCGTACAGGATTTGCTCCCATGCCGAGCGTAGTGTAAGAGCGAGACTATTGATGTCGTTGCTTGAGAGACCCGTGTCAATGGGCAGGGCGACAGGCATCTTCTCTGTAGACTTCTTGCGTATCTTCTCCGAGCTGATAGTGGTCGAGCTCTGGGAGCTGATTTCGGACGGAGATGGTAGGAGAGTATGAGGATCTTCCGAGAACGCCACGACATTGACACAGAGCATGTCAAATACATGCTGTGCAAACTCCGCAGTAATGGTGCTGTTGGGAGCGTATGTAAGGGTGACTTCCATGTGGCTGCCACCATGGGATGTGGTGTGTATGGAGAAATCCGCAAAGTCTTCCTGCGAGCCAATGGCGCCAACTTTGTACTCGATGCCACCCAGTTGCATGGTGGGGTTGTCGTCTTGAATGTTCTGGTCGTGCTGCAAGACGCTGGAGAAGTTCGTCCAGTCAGGCCATTCGGTACAGTGTCGGGTAATCTCGCGGAAGCCGAGTGACTCGTATGGCATATTGGCAGTCTGCTGGTCTTGAATGTATTTGAGCAGGTCGAGAACAGTCCATTCAGGACGGTATACGACGCGAACAGGCACCATGTTCAAGCAGGGTCCAACGATACTCTCAACGTTGGCAACACCGCCGTTGCGACCTGAGATAACATGACCGAAGACAATATCTGCTTTACTGGCTATACGAGCGAGTGTCGATGCCCAGGCGGCTTTGGCGATAGTAGCACTCGTGATGTTGACGCCCTTCAATCTGGGTGCAAATACCCTCTTCTCGAGCGTTATTGAATGGCCGGCAGAGCGCTGGTAATTGGGTCCAAAGCGGTTAACGATTTCGGTCATCTTGGAGCCCCGAAGCACCTCTCTCCAGTGATCGTGTGCACCTGCAATGGTTTTGGCAGTTTCGCGAACGAAGTTACCAAAGCTTGGTGCAGACGAGACGGGAAGGCCGTTGTATCCATCTTGAAGAGCGCCGAGGATCTTGGACATGCAGACTCCGTCATACTGCGCGTGCGAAAGTCGCATGAAGATGCGATGGCGTCCAGTTTGTTTCTGGTTTGCGACAACGAACTGAATAAAGGCTTCGCCAAGACGGGGACCGTTTTCACGGTCTTTTTGTCGTAGCTCCGTCGTGAAGGTTTCGAGATCATCGTCCGTTTGGTGACAGATGAACTCTGGTTGAAGTTTTCGTAGTACAACTTGCAGGAAGCGGTCACCGTACGGCACGAACACAGTGCGGAGAATATCGAATGCTTGTACCATACGATAAGCAGCCTGCTTCAACTTGCGAAGATCCAGGGGCCCTTCGCCGTCCAGGTAGAAATAGTTGAGCATCCACTTGGATTCCATGAGCGTACCGGTGATGGCAAGCGCCTGGAAATCGGTCACCGGGAAGATATCGGAAATACCACCCTTGAAGACTTGCACTTTGGAGATGACACTGTCAACGTTCGGATCTCCTAGCAATGAGACAGATCGGTGTCCAGAAATCTCCACTGCCTCCGGAATCGTGTGCGGTGCCGACCTCCGGTTGACGTTCCTTGCATCTGATGGTTTCGGTTGGCTAGTCGTCAAGCCTTGCCATCGCTTGAACTTCGCGTCGTTCTTGCTGTCTTCGGGCTCGATAGGCGTTTCACTGACAGCCATGCCTTTCTCGGCATTGTACTCCGATACGATAGAGTGGATGTCGCTCCAGATTGATGGTGCCCGTTCGCGGAGTCGAGCCTTGGAAGGTCCTCCGGTAGTACTTATGCCAGCCACTGAATCTCCGCCAGCTCTGGACATGACTTCATCGATGACTTCGCCCGCAACGCGTACAACCCGGGCCATATCGGCAAATGTGGGGTTCTTGAACACATCGGCCACTGTCATAGACAGCCCCTCCTCCCTCGCAGCACCAACTAAGCGCATGGCGATGATGCTATCGCCTCCGAGTTGGAAGAAGCTGTCGTCTTGTTCAATCGTTTCCTCCACCATCTCAAGCAGCTCGCTCCACAGATTGAGTAGTTTCTTCTCCACAAAATCGGGGGTCACCTTGCTGGAAGTCTCGGTCGCGAGAACGCCAATAGTGGCTACCATATCAGCAGCTGTTTGAATTCTGCTTTCGGCGTTACTCGCGACGCTCATTCTTCGGGAGCGAATAGATGCCGCTCGTGTTGATCCTGCTCTTGTAGAGCCCCCGTCAATGCTTTGCCGACCACGTTGGGAGGTCCTCCTGTTGATCATGCCAGCCATCTGGCTAGTGACCTGGTTGATTGCTGCAGTGGTTGTCTCGGCTGGAAGCTTATTCTGTGCCACGATCTGATTGACGATCTGAGGTACCATCTCGCTAACAATAGATCGGATAAGACTACTCAAGTCTGGGGTGTCGACTGGCAATGAAGAGGGAGGGGCCAGATCCGGGAACGTAATCCGTGGTGTACGAGGTGGCGAAGTTGATGAGCTGGACATACTTGAACCAGACCTGAGGATCGAGGGGCGAGGCTTTGGCAGCGCAAGAGTCGCAGCAGAAGTTATCTTGGGTCTGTGCGTGAGGATACTATCGAGATCTGTGACAGTCTGCGCGGCGTTGTTCAGAGCCGCTGCTAAGACCTTCGCCATGAGAGTGGAAACGTTCCTCGCTTCACCATCATTGATAGCATCGCTCCAGTAAGTGAAACGTATGCCTTCATCGTCTCGTGTGGCATCTATGTTCACCGTGATGGCAAATTCGCTTGGATCGTGACCATCCAATTGCTCGAACTCGATTCCAGAACTGTCCAGTGCTGGTTCCTCGGTACTGGAGCGCTTCTGAATAGAAACGGCCGTGTTGAAGAGCGACTTTCCAGATAGCCCAAGGTCATGCTGGAATTGTGCAAGCGAGCAATGCTGATGAGGCATGGAGTCGATGAAGTCAGATTGCACATTCTGAATGAGCTCGAGAAGAGAAGAGGAAGGAGCCAGTTCGACACGGGATACTAGCATGTTGATGAATGCTCCGACCGCATTTTCAATGTCATCAATCGGTACGTTCCTTCCCGAGGTGAGATAGCCGTAGCATACATCTGAAGATTTTGTATATGATCTCAGCACCAGTGTCCACGCTGTCAACAGGATGTTGGCAAACGTAACGTTGTTGTTCTCCGCAAATGTGTGTAGCTCCGCAAAGCGAGTGAATCGCATGTCCAGAGATCGTAGCTGCCGCTGCTTGGCTGGATCGCGAGGTGTTGTCGGAAAGTAGCATTGACTAACTCCCTGGAGTTTCGTCTTCCAGTACGTAATCGCTCCTTCAGAGGAGATCCCGCGCAAGTATTTGATGTAATTGCTATACAAAGGTCCTTGGTCGGATAGACGCCCCTCGTATGCTTCTCGGAGATCATTTCCGATGATTCCCAATGACCCTCCATCGATTACGGCGTGGTTGACGATGACCTTGACAACGACCTTCCCGGAAGTTGTCTGAATAACGGCGGCTTGGTGCGGAAGATTTGGTCTCTTCTTACCATTGAGAGAGCTGTATTTGATGGATTCCAGAAGGGCAGGTAGCTCGGAGTCATCGCAAGTCCGACTAACGATACCAGAGTCAGGATTCTTGACGACGACCTGATCGAAAACGCCTCCCTTGCAGACACTGTCTATGAAGACAGTCCGCAACGCAGGGTGCCGAGCAACAACTTGTTCCCATCCCTCCACTATCTTCCCAACATCGACCGAAGCCCGCTTGGATCTGACCTCGAAAGTGGTGGAAGACCAGTACGACTCAGGAGACTTGATTTGACTGAGTATCATGCCGTCTTGAATTGGGGAGCAAGAGTACATGTCCTCTACCTGATCGAATGACATGATACCGACTGCTGGCAATGTCTTCACAACGCGATCGAGGCGACTGTACGATTCCAAGGGTAGCAAAGGAAGGTCGGCCATGGTAGGTTGCACTGTATCCATCCCAGCAAGCTCGGTAGCAATTTCCTCTAGGGTGCGTTCGCATTCGGCTATCCACCTGCGGATACCTTTTTGATTCTTCGAGTAACGATTGTACATGAAGCTGAGCTGAATGCTACCTTCTGAAACAGATGCGGAAATCTCAAAAAGTGCCATGCGAGCTGTCTTGAGGCCCACGTCAGAAGTCTGATCATCTTCATCGCCATCCAGCTGCATGGGCTGGATTGGAGCATCAACTTGGCCAGATTGACTCTGACGGCCAAGATAGTTGAACAAGACTTCCATGGGCTCATGGTCCGAAAAGCGTTGTTTTCCATCTTCAGTCAGGAAGCGATGTGCAAAGTATGGACGCCCGTTACTGTCGATCTTTCTGCGCGTATCTTTGACTTGGCGCAGAGTGTGTATGACGTTGTCCTCTTCCTCGCCAATAGGAACAATGACTGGATACAGCGTCGTAAACCAACCAACAGTTCTGGAAAGATCTATTCTGCTCGAATCCCATGTCTCACGGCCATGAGACTCGTTGAATATAGTGGGAGCCTTGCGATTGATGAAGACCCGAGAGAAAGAGTGCAGGACTGCGGCTAGGAGAATGTCGACCATGTCGGTTCTTAACACATAGTGATTGTCGAGAACCATGGATGAGATGTCTTTGTTGATGATGAAATCATCTCTCTCCACGTCACCATAAACATTCGGCCGAGCATGCATACCCCAGTAAGCCAGGTTTGTGGGCTGGACCACGAGGGGCTGCTTTCGAACATGTTCTTGTTGAGAAGCCTCGAGTGCATTGGCATTTTGTATCTCACACCAGTTCCTGAAGGGTAGTCCTTTCTGTAGTACCGTCCTTGACCCAGGTCCAAGTAGTTCTTCCAGATCGCCCAACAAGATACCCCAGCTGACTACGTCGATGACGAGGTGGTGTGCAGCCAGGAATAAAATCTGCTCACCCTGTATGTCGAACAGATTGACGGCAAACACTGGTCCCTCCTGGATGTTGAGGCTCTTCTGCGTATCTGACACAATGGATACGGCGGCAGAAGTGGTGGGCAGAGTGTGTGTTCCGAATGTGTAGGAATCGAAAGTTCCTGGCTTGACAAACTGCTGCCACTGCCCTGTGGTGCTCTTGCAAAAGCGAGCACGAAGCATAGAGTGAGTCTCAACAATGGAGTCAAAGGCGCGCTTGAAGATAGCCGGATCCATGTAATGAGATATCCGCAATGTGGAAGACTGATTGAAGTGCGTGTTGTCTTCAACACCTTCGGTCCTGAAGTAAAGGCGCTGAATAGGCGAGAGGTCGAAGGGCTGATCAGTCTGTTCTTTGACAGAATCAAGAGACATCGAGGGTTTGACACTCTCAGCTAGATGAGCAAGGGATTTTGCGCGCAAAACATGGTTCAGAGTCAGGTTGATACCTTCACTTCTGCACTTTGCTAGCAGCTTCATCGCACTGATAGAGTCCCCACCAAGTGATAACCATGATTTGTTCAGCTTGACATCCTCAATAGAGCAGTTCAGTACCTTTGCCCATATCTGGCGAAGGATAATAACAGGACTGTCAGCAGGCTGCTCCGCTTCCTCCTCCAGTTCTGACTGGAGAAGTCGCTGGAATGTGGTCTCGTCGATGTTGTCTAACCACAGCCCAACTTGCTTCTTATCAAGCTTGGCCGAGGTCAGAGTCGGGATCTCAGGTACTGCAATCCAAATGGTAGGCACCATGTACGGGGGGACAAGATCCATCAACCTCTCTCTTGCAATATCGATGCGTGAGAGTGTTTCCTTGTCTACAAGCATCGTAGGCCATTGTTGTTGGACATTGCTGGCAGATCGTCCGGGAAAGCTCACGACCGCTGTGAGCTTCTTGCAGCAAGGGCCGCGCTTGGGCAGCCGCACAACCGCTTGGCGGATATTGTCGTCAACTCTCAGGAAGTGCTCGACCTCATCTAGTTCTATCCGTTGACCAGCGAGCTTGATTTGGTTGTCTTTCCGACCGATGTATTGGATAGAACCATCAGCAGCATATTGAACAAGGTCTCCAGTAACATAGATCCTAGATTCATTCGCGGTGGAAAATGCCTTCATGAATGTGGGGTTGTCGATGAACACCTCAGCGGTGCGTCCGGGGTTGTGAAGGTATCCACGTGCCAGGAGTGGTCCTTCTAGACACAACTCGGCTGTTGCGCCAACTGGTGCCAGTTGGTCGGGATTGTTCGGGTTCGTCAGCCAAGCTCGGCCGCTGCGAAGCATTCTCCCGATATTGGAAGCATTTCGCTGAATAGAGACCTGGTCATTTGCGACCGCGAATACCGTACCCTCTGTCGGACCATAGCCGTTCTGGAGACGCACCCCCGAGGCCCATTTGTTAATCACGTCAGGCGTCATTGCCTCGCCACCTACGACCAGCGTCTCCAAGGTTGGCACCGCTTTAGGGCCATCGAGTGTACTAGCCACTGACGGTGTCAAGAATGCCCAATTAGACTTCAGCGTAGTTATGGCTGATGCGAGGTCGGAAGTGCGCTGTTCATCCGAGGGCACACAAATTGTCGCGCCGCGAATGAGAACAGCAAGAGTCTCGCCAACGGAGACATCAAACGCAAAAGAGCAAAACTGAAAAACTCGAGATGTAGGCGTGATATGAAGTCCCTCACAAATCGCGGCTGAGCTAGAAGCGATGCTCTTGTGTTCAATGACTACACCTTTCGGCACTCCTGTGCTGCCTGAAGTGAAGATGACATAGCAGATGTTGTTGCTTCGGGCACGCTGCTGGATTGGGGTTGAGCAGAGAGGTAATTTTCGAACTGCGGTCTCGCTGACAGTGAAGACGTGGTTGACCATTTCCACAAAGCGATGTGCGTACGATGGAGAGCAAAGAACAATAGACGCTTTGCAGGCCTCGACGACCTGCAATTGTCGCGATGCAGGATCTACTGGCGACATTGGTACGTAACCAGCGCCTGCGATGAGAACAGCCATGATGGCGACAATGGCCCAACGAGACTTGTCGAGGCATATGGGAATGAGCTGCTCTGGACCAGCCCCAAGTTTTATCAATTCCTGTGCCAGCTGGGAAGCTAGTTTGCTCAGCTCAGCATATGTGAGCTCACCGTCAAAGGCTGCGATGGCCACGGAATTGGGCTGGAGCGCTACTCTCTTGTAGAAAAGCGAAGGTACAGTGTCCGCGATCTCGATTGGTTCGTATCCATTCCAGTTCCGAACGAGTTGCGCGTCGTGCTCACTGAAGACAGTCACTTCACGAATGTACGTGACGGTTTGTAGTTGAGTCAAGGCCGAGTCAAACTGAGAGACGATTTGCTGAACATTCCAGGCGGAGATGGCGTTGGCATCAAAATGCGCTAATACTTCCATGCCGGATGGTCGCATTTTGCATTCGATGACCAAAGGATAGGTGAAGAAGCTGCTTGGCTCGCCATTGTCGTGGACTGACCACATAGAGTCGGTCAGATCTTCGCTCTCTGTCTGCACTACTAGCAGGTTCTGGAAGTTGCAGGCGGCTGCCATGTCCTCGCCAATGGCTTTGATGGCAGATATGCCGTGGTGTTGGTGAGGTATACGGTCCGTGACACTCGTGGATATCTTCTTCAAGAAGTCGCTGACAGTCGCTCCACTATCCACTTGCACTCTCGTAGGAATTGTCGTCAATGTTGGGCCACATACGTCCATGATACCAGCCACAGCAATATCTCGCCCGGAAAGAGTTTCCCCGAAGACCACATCAACAGAGCCTGTGTATGCCGCCAGTACTAAAGCCCAGGCAGCTCTGATGACATTGGATGGCGTTACATCGGTATGCTTATGAGGGGAAAGTTTGATGATGTGTTGAATTGTCTGTCCATCCAGACCAGCGTTCGAATGGGCCTGGGTTGAGTGAGGGAAATGAGTCGCATTGCTTCCACTCAGAGCATCCTTCCAGTATCGGCTTGAAGCTTCGGCATCTGCATTGGTAAGGTAGTTGATGAACTTGCTGTAAGGCGTTTGCGGTATGGATGATGTTCCAGCCAGGTAGATCTGTTGCACTCGTTGAAGCATTAGGTGGATACTCCAGCCGTCGTAGACCGCATGATGTATCGTCCACACGAGGTATCGCTCTTTGGACGCGGAAGTGACGAGCGCGTATGATGCAAGGCGACCACCAAGCTGTGAGGGTATCTTGAGAGCTTCCTTCTCCGTATCTTTGAGCGATGTTGCCTCCATCCAGTTCAAACGGTCTTCTGCAAGGACGGCTTGCACAAACTCTCCGGACGGTAGCTGAATGATACGAGTCCGCAAAATGTCGATCTCTTGAATCGCTCTTGCCCAGGCGGCCTTGAACTTGGCCATGTCAACAGAGCGTGGAAGCGCCAAGACATGCTGTGCAACATACGCGCCGGGTTGCTTTATGGAGAGGGTAAGCAGTGCATCCTGAAGTGAGCTGGTGGGGTATAGGTCCTGAATGTTCTTCGTTGAAACTTGACATTGCTGAGCAACCTCACCAAGGACGTCCTTGAGTACAAAAGGATTGCGGATCAGTTCGAAAGGCTGCATGAGCTTTTCGGGCTGACTCAGTTTACCGGCACGTTCGCCAATCTTGGCTAGATCAGCGAGCTTGGGATTTTTGAAGACATCGATGAAAGACAACTCTAGGTGCTCTGCGCGGGCCTTTTCGATAAGGCGCATGGATGATATGGAGTCACCGCCAAGGCGCACAAAGCTGTCGTCAATACCTACGGAGGAGGATGGGAGATTTAGGACCAAGCAAACAGCCTTGTGAATCTTTTTTTCCGCTTCAGTCGTTGGCTGCCTCTTGTTTGCCATGCTGGTGAGTCGGTACATCGCCATCGTCTCGCGACTCAGGTTTTGTACCAAGGTTCGTAGGCGGTTTCGGTCTAGCTTGCCGGCCGACGTCCAGGGCATCTTTGTGACAGGTATGAAGATGGAGGGAATCATGTATGAAGGGAGAGAGCCAGCGAGACCGTTCTCAGTATTTTTGCACATGTCGCGCAATTCGTCTCTCATTGGAAGAAGCAATTCGTCGGCAGCCGGTAGGTCGGTCGAAAGGGGCTGCACAAGCTCTCCATTGGAAGCTGAAAGATCCTGACTAACGGCGAAGAATACAGCTAGCGCTTTCGCAGAGCTGCGATTGGAAGGAGCGACTAGTTCCACCGCAGATTGGACGCTGTCTGCAAAGTTCTTCCCGACATGGAACTCGATCTCACCCAACTCGATTCTCTGGCCATTGAGCTTGATCTGAGTGTCCTTCCGACCAATATAGCTGACTGATCCATCTGTGTTGTATCGAACCAGATCACCAGTCTTGTACATCCGGGCCGTTGGAAAGATGCCACTGTCGCAAGAAAGGGTCGCAGTCCAGGCAGGGTTGGTGATGAAAGCCTTCGCGGTCTTGGCCTCATCGTTGAGATATCCACGGGCAACAGTCGGCCCTTCGATAACGAGCTCGCCGACACTGCCTACAGGCATGAGCTTGTCGTGGTTTCGCGGGTGTACTATCCATAGTCTGCATCCGCTTCCTGTACCGATGGTGCCTGGCTCGGACTCGATGAGCTTGTGATCGAGTGTGGACTTGTAGGCAGTGGCAGCTACTACTGAACACTCTGTAGGACCGTATGCTATTGATCTGTCAGCAAAAGCTCTGTGTAAGTGAACGCACACATGCTTACCGTTGATGAAGCAAGTGCTGTTACCCCATTTCTTCAAAATAGGACCCGGAAGCGCTTCACCTCCAGATACCAGGGTCTTCAAGCCAGGGACACGCTCTGGCTCAATCGTTCCAAGTACAGAAGGCGTTAAAAGTGACCAGTTCACTCTGAGTTTGCGAATCGCACCAGCAGCGTTGTTCATTCTGTCTTCTTCTGTTGGGACGCACACAGTGGCACCCACAGTTAGGGCAGACAGAATTTCGATGCAGCTTGCGTCGAAGGTGTATGAAGCAAACTGAAAAGTGCGCGAAGTCGCATTGATGTTCATGCGACGCGTAAATGCTGCAGCACTCGTGCAGAACGCCTGGTGTGGGATGATGGTTCCTTTCGGCTTTCCGGTAGTACCTGAAGTGAACAAGCAATATGCCGCATTGTCTGGGGTCGCCGTAGACTGTGGCTTGCTCGTGGATGGCATGGCCAGCTTCTTGAAAGACCTTTGGTCGACTATCAATGCTGTTTTTGCGACCTCGCTCGCTTTCGCGTGGTATTGACGTGAGCATATTACCACAGCAGCACCAATATCTGCGATGAGTTCCTGAAGTCGAGTTTGCGGATGCTTGGGGTCAAGCGGCACGTATGCGCCACCCGCCTTCATAATCGCAATCATGCTGACGATGGCCCAAGACGATTTCTCGAATAAGATCGGAACGAAGGTCTCGGTGGTAACACCAAGGGCCTGTAGGTGGACTGCTAGTTGGTCGGTTATCTTGTCGAACTCTTGGTAGGTAAACGATCCGTCCCAGCCTTCCACTGCCTTTGTTGTTCGTGGTCTTGTGAGCGCTTGTTCGTGAACAACTTCGTGCACGCAACGGCGAATGGGTGGCGGGAGCTGCGTGTTCCAGTCCATGATTTGTCCAAGGCTGCCCGCTGTGAACGTGTCCAACTTTCCGACTGTCATTTCACTGGGACTGCTTGCGACAATGCCTTTCAGTATCATTTTGAATGTATCAGCCATGTTGCGTGCTTGTGCTGGGAGAATCTTATCCTTGGAGTAGCCAAAGTCGACCGATATGCTGTCTTCAGTGACATCGGCATTGACTGTTACAGCGTATTCACCGGCATCATCGGCTTCCATGTTATTGTAAAGAAGTGCCATCTCATCTGGGTCGCTCGAAAGACTGCGCCTCTGGAAAGTGAACGCTGTGTTGAATAACGCGGGAAGCTGCAGCTCGTGTTGCACATCAGCAAGAGAGCAGGTCTGATGTGACATGGCATCTGTCGAGCTGGTTTGAAGAGCCTCCAGGAGCTGGGCAATTGTCGTATCGTCCGAGAACGTAAGGCGGGAAACAAGCATATTGACAAAACAACCTACGGCTTCATCGATGTTGCTCACGGGGATGTCGCGACCAGACGCCACCAAGCCGAAGGAAACGTCGAAGGTACCAACGTAAAAGTGAAGAGTGAGAGCCCATGTAAGCTGGAGCACATTTGAGAGAGTGACCCCGTTCTGCTTGCAGAACGATTGGACGTCGTCCGTGCTGCCCAACTCAATATCGACTGAGCCAGGTTCGCGAAGGCTCGACTTCCCATCATTGAGAGATGGAAAAAAGCATGGCTCGATGCCCGCAAGATACATCTTCCAGTAGGCGAGATCGGCGTCTCTGGATCTAGAGAGGATATACTCGATGTAGTTCGAGTAGAGAGGTCCCGCATCAGCTCGTGTGAGCTTTCTGGAGTATGCGCGAGCGATATCAGTGAGTAGGTTGGAGACTGAAGTACCGTCGTTGATAGCATGGCTCAACTCAAGCTTGATCCATACTTGGCTTGCTTTAGTCTTGCAGATGGTCAGGCGATGGGGCGGGACTGCTTCGCGGCAATCGATCGGGGACTGGTCACGCAGCATATTCGACACAGTGCCGTCGTCGCAGTCAGCAAGCAATTGGACTCTCCCGGCCTTTTCTTTCACCACAAGCTGATCCTTTGAGCCGTTCTTCGCAAGGCTGTCGATAAAGATGGTGCGCAAAGCTTGATGGCGATGTACCACAACCTGCCAAGCTTCAGCAAGACGGCGAGGGTCCACCGGTTTTCCATCTGTCGACTGCACCTTCGAAATGACGTGGTAGGTGTACAGTTCAGGATTGCGCGACTGCGTGATGAGCAGGCCTTGTTGCATAGGCGATGCTGGATAAACATCCTCGATGTCCGCAATAAATAGGCCAGTGGGGAGAGCCTCTGTGAGCCTGGAAAATCCGTTGTAGAGTAGGGGCAGATGTTTGAAGCTGTTGAGGCTTTGCTCTTGCCGCACCTGTAATAGCTCATCGACGGCGTCAATGAGTGTTTGGCGACACTGCTTAACCCATGCGCGAATGTCCGACTGGCGTCTCATGTTGCGATTCCATCCAAAAGATAGTTTGATGGCTCCTTGCGATATCGCTGCAGTGATATCGAAGAGTGCAAGGCGGGGAACGTCGACCCCAACCTCGCGAGAATCAACATCAGGTAGAGCGGTGAATAGGCCGTCCGTGCGATCTTGATGTTGAACCCTACCGACGTAGTTGAAGATTGCTTCTGCTGGCCAATGGCTGGCAAAACGAGTATTGCCTTCTTCAGTGAGGTTCCGGTATGCAAAATACGGGCGGCCTTTGCCGGGTGTCCGATTCCTCAAGTCTCGAACCCACTCGATGGTACTCACAATGTCCGTCGATTCACTCGCAGGCACTGGGAGGGGTATGGGTGTAATCGTGGAGAACCAGCCAACCGTACGCGACAGGTCTTGGCGCGCGCTGAAAGTTTCCCGACCGTGACCCTCATTGTGTATCGTGATAGTTGACCTGTCGGAGAAGACTGTGCGGAAGGATTCGAGGAGAGCAGCGACCAGAATGTCCAGTATCTCCGTGGCCAAAGCATCTTGTGCTCCAAGAAGCAGCATCGTGTCTCTCGTGGTAAGTTGGATGTCCTCCTCAGTCAGGTCTTCACTGAGGTTTGGTCTTCCTTCCATTCCCCAGTAGTCGAACCTCGCTGGCATAAGCTCTTCCAAAGGCATAACCCTTCTAGCACTCTCTTGCTTAGACTGGATAGACTGCTGCTGCAACCATGTGTAATAAGGTGTGCTTTGGGGCGGCGGCTGAACACCACTGAGTAGACCCTGGAGATCTTCAAGAAGAACACCCCAAGAGACGACGTCGATGATGAGATGGTGTGCCACAATCGCCATAGCTTGGGAAAATGTATCATCGATATCGAAGACATCGATGGCGAATGTTGGGCCATTGCTTACGTCCAATGAAGCTTGGCTCTCATCAACAATGCTTTGTAAATCAGGACCTTGAGCTGATGGAATGCGATGGTGGCGCAATCTAAACGAGTTCACAGTATCTCTCTCGATACATTGTTTCCATGTGCCTGTCTCGTTCTTGAAGAAGCGTCCGCGAAGCATAGGATGTGTTTGAACCAGAGCTGCCAATGCGTTTCGAATCTCGTCGACGTCGAAATTGCGTGTTAGACGGAAAACCTCGGTCTGGTTGAAGTGACTGTGTGAGTCTCCTACTGTCTGGAAGAACAACTTCTGAATGGGAGATAAATCGAAAGGCAGGTGGTACTCGATAGCCTCAGGTGCAGCGCGTATGCCTTCAGATAGATCGATGGTTGATGCCAGAGCAGTGATGGACTTGGATCGGATGATGTCCTGTACACTTACAGGAAGGCCCTGCGCTCGACACTGCGAAGACACCTGCATAGCGGCAATGGAGTCGCCTCCTAGGTGCAGGAAGGACTGATTGAGACGGATCTCATCGGCAGGTAAGTTGAGGACTTTGGCAAAGATCGCCTGTATCTTCTGCTCGGTACCACTTGCGTTACCAGCCTGCGAGTTTTGAAGCCCCATGGTTGAGATGACACGGTAAGTCGCTGGGTCCATCTGGTCCAGCCACTGTGTAATGCGCCTCCGGTCCATCTTTCCAGACGGCATCAGCGGAAATCGCTCGATTACGACCCATAGCGATGGGATCATGTATGATGGTAGCCTCTCACAAAGGCTGTCTCGAATGCTTGCAATATTTAACGACGCGTTTTCATGAGACAAAAGCTGCATCTGCTCCCCTGAATGTGCTGTAGTAACTGGCATGTTTTGAAGCGAGATGATCGCGACCAGTCTCTTGGCGCAAAGACCAGTCGTGGGCACTGAGGCAAGGGCGCTTTGTACCATGTGGTCGTCCATGAGTTTGTGCTCAACCTCAGACAGCTCCAGTCGTTGGCCGCGGACCTTGGTCTGCGAGTCTTTACGGCCAAGATATAGCATAGTGCCATCCTCGTTGTACTTCACCAAGTCTCCAGTCTTGTAGATCCGGCAAGATGCAGAACCGTTATCACCCAGTAGTCCTGTACGCCAGCTGACATGCCCAATAAATGCATCAGCTGTCTTCGCAGGATTGTTAAGATACCCCATGCCAACTGCACCGCCTTCGAGCAGAAGTTCACCGACTGCACCAACTGGCGACAGTGCATGATGATTGTTCTTGGAAACAATCCAACCTCGAGCGGTAACAGCTCGCCCGAGGTTGTTAGGCTTCATATGAGTTGTCATGATGTTGGTAGTCGCAACACAGGCGCACTCAGTTGGCCCATAGCCGTTTCCGAGGGTGACTTTGTCGGCCCAGGTTGAGAGGTCTTGCTGCGACATTGCCTCACCGACGAGGAAAAGCGTCTCGAGTCGCGGCACTTGGGAGGGCACCATCATTCGCACGACTGATGGTGTCAATGCAGCCCAGTTGACATTGAACTTGTTGATGACGCCGACGAGATCATTCGTTCGCGAAGCCTGATCTGGAACGCAAATAGTGCCGCCACACATGAGAGTGCTGAAGATCTCGATCAAGCAAGCATCGAAAGTGTACGAGGCAAACTGTAGCACCCTAGACGATTTGGAGATCTTCCAGCCCGGAGAGAATGCGGAAGAACTCGTGACCCAATGATGGTGGTTTATGACGGCACCTTTCGGTTTTCCGGTTGACCCGGAAGTGTAGAATGCGTACGCTGGTGAGTTGCTCGGTACTTGGGGAAGGCGCTGTGACGGAGCTCGACTCTTCTCACTGGTGGATCGATCTACAACCAGAGTGCCACAAGGTATCGACTGGCATAACGCTTCATATTGCGGAGCGCACAACAACAAGTCTGCATGAACGTCGGTAACTATCTCACGCAGGCGGAGGACAGGAGTCTCAAAGTCCAAAGGGACGAAAGCAGCTCCAACTTTGAGTACAGCCAATATAGCTACAATTGTCCAACCTGACTTGTCGAAGCAAAGTGGAATGAACTGTCTGGGCTTCACTCCAAGCAGCAACAACTGTTGGGCAAGGGTAGTGGCCCGCTCGTCAAGCTCGTGATATGTCATGACACCAGTATCCCATGCGTCGATGGCAGGTGCTTCAGGCCTGACAGCGGTCTGGTCTTCAGCGATGACGCGATGAATGCAACGGTTGATGATGTCCACTGGCTTGCTATTCCAGGAACTAATCAAGCTTCTGTCCGCAGCGTTGAGTAGATTGATTTCATTCAATGTCTTGGAGATGCTCTCCGCGGCGTTGAATTGACTCATGATGAAATCGAACTGTTGGACGATGCGCTGAGCAAGCCATCTCTCAACAACACGATCATCGAATAGAGCTTCCACATGAACTCCACTCGGGTCCACCTTGCAGTTGAAGACGAAGGCATAGCTAAAGAAGTCAGTACCAATGGTATTGGCACCCTCCATGTTCCATAGCGGGCTCTCAGCGTCAAAGTCATCCCCGGCCTCAATACCCAGGAAACTCTGAAAGTCACAAGCTACTGCCGTCTCAGAACTGAGTTTTTGGATGTGCTGCAAACCCGCAAATTGATAGGGTAATGAGGTGGAAGACTGGCGCTGCGTCTCTTTGAGATAGTCGTGAACCATGAGACTACGATTGAGCCGAAGACGGACGGGGGCAGTCGTGATCGTGGGGCCGATGATAGACTCGATTCCAGGGATTGAGGCTTCTCGCCCACTGTTCGTTTCTCCCCACAACACGTCGTCCGAGCCTGAGTAGGTTGCAAGGAGAAAACCCCATGCGGCACGAATCATCGATGGGACTGTAACCTCTAGGCTAGAGTTACGTGTGAGCTCCACGCGATGTAGCAGTTGACCGTTCGCTTCGACGCGATGATCCGGGGACGGCAGCTGAGGGAATTGCGCAGCTGTGATGTTGTCGAGCTGCCCAAGCCAGAATTCATCGGACTGCTTCTGATCGAGGTTCGAGAGGTATTTGATGAAGCGAGAATAAGGAACAGTGGCCGGAATCTCCCCAGCGTCATTGCGATAATGGGCTTCGACCTTTCGAAACAAGGCCGTCCAACTCCATCCGTCATATACAGCATGATGGGCAGTCCAGACGAAGAAGGGCGTGGTCGTGTCTTCTCCTACGAGAGTGAAGGTAGTCAAGGGAGCACCGTTCTTGGCAGGAAGTTGGCGGGTGGCTTCATTGATATCTTCGACTGCCGGAAGTGATAACCACTGGAGCTCTTCGCGTAGCACGACCTGCAAGAAGCCATGCTCCTCAGAATAGATAATTCGGGTTCGCAGAGCGGCTTCAGCTGCGGCAACAGCTTTCCAAGCTTTCTTGAAGCGTGGTAGATCAATATCAGCCGGCAAGCGGTAGATGGGCTGGACGACGTAGGTGCCCGGGTCTTTGTTGGTGAGCATGATAAGCCCTTCCTGGAGTTTGCTGCATGGGTAGATGTCTTCGATAACATCCGGAAATACACCGCATTCTGATGCCGCCAATGCCCTGATGACTTGACAGGACGAGTTTGGAAGCAGCTCAAAGGGGACCATATCTGGCTCTGGTGAGCTGACGTGGTCGGAAGACAGAATCGAGGCAGTTGCGGCCATATCGAGAAGTTTTGGATACGTAAAGACATTTGCAACGTTCAGGACAACCCCATGCTTCCTTGCTGCTGTGACCAGCTTCATGGCGCTGATGGAGTCGCCGCCCAGACGGAAGAAAGAGTCTTCAGCACCCACAGCATCGGCATCCAGCTTCAGTACATCTGCCCACAGACGAGCCAAGGCAACTTCGGCTTGGCCGGTAGGCGCGCGGCCGCTCTTGCCTGCAAGGCGGAAAGGCGTGAGCTGCGACTCGGGAACTGCTGCAGCAAGCGCACGTAGCACCTTCCTGTCGAGCTTACCCGATGTCGTCATGGGCATGCTCGTGACAGGCATGAACATGGAAGGCACGTAGTAGACAGGCAGGGCACTGGCAAGCGCCATCTCGACTTGCTTTGCTACTGCCCGCACCGCCTCAGTCATCTCAGTAATGGCAGCCGGTCCTTCACTCTCAGACAGGCACATGAAAGCTACCAGCGCCTTGGTTCCCATGCTGTCGTTAAACTTGACGAGCTCCACGGCAGATTTGGCACCAGACGGTAGGTTCAGTTTGAGGTGATGCTCAATCTCGCCCAACTCAATGCGCTGTCCGTGCAGCTGTGATTTGTTAGTCAATGAAACGTGTGAATACGGATAGCTGTCGAGGACTCACTTTAACCTGGGAATCTTTCCTCCCCAAGTACATCATGTCGCCGTCAGACGTGTACTGAACGAGATCGCCCGTGCAATAGAACCTCCGGCCAGTCGGTCCAGCGGTGCGCGCCCACTCAGGGTCAAAAATGAAAGCTGCTTGCGTCTTCTCGGCATCATTTAGATAGCCACGGCTGAGAATCGGTCCCTCAAGCAACAGTTCCCCTTTGCAGCCAATTGGCACCAACCGATCCCGATTCTCGGCGTCAACAACCCAGGAGACGCAGCCAGTAGCTTTACCGATGTTGGTTGCTTCACCACGACCATCGCTAAAGTCCTTGAAGGCCGAGTTGATGGATGCTTCGCTGGGTCCATACTGCCCGACAACAGGCATATGCTGACTCCAAAGTTCAATTAGTGCTTTGGTAAGAGGTTCCGCTCCGAGACACATCTGCTTGAGTGTGGGAACCTCTAAAGGATTGAGCAGCGCAGCAACGGTAGGTGTCAGGTCCACCATGGTAGCCCTGAGCCTAGTGATGGCCCCTGAAAGATCGTTGACGCGATCGGCTTCAGAAGGAACACATACGCAGCCTCCTCTCTGAAGCGTGGTGAACATCTCCTCCAGCGAGTTGTCAAACGTATATGAAGCGAATTGAAGCATGCGCGTATCCCGGTTGAGACCAATCTTCGTGCCATGGGCCTCTGCACTCGTGACAATTGCCAAATGATCGAGCACAACTCCCTTAGGCCGACCAGTACTTCCACTCGTGAAGATCACGAAAACCGCGTTGTTGGGCTGTACGCTAGTGCAGGCGGGGCCTTTCGTCACGGGCAAATTATCCAGAAATGCAGCGTCTATGGTGAGCACGCTGGAAACTAGACCATCCAGTTTTTCTGCGCGTGCCGCAGTGGTTAGGACAATGTGCGCGTTCGCGTCTTCAAGGCGAGTCTGAAGCGCAGGCTTGGGGTGTGTTGCGTCGAGTGGAACAGCGGCACCACCTGCTTTCAGAACCGAGAGCATAGCAACAACTGCAAACATACTCTTGTCGAAGCAAGTAGGGACGAAGATATCAGGCCCAACTCCCAACTGGACAAGATGATGTGCCAACCGATCGGTAACCGCATCCAGCTCAGCATAAGTGTACTCGCCGTCATGCGCGCAGATTGCCGGTGCCTCAGGCTGACTGATAGCCCACCGAGTGAATCGATCGTGTACGCACTCATTGATCTTTGCTGGCATGACATTCCAGTCATGTATCTGCTGAAGATGGCGCGGGCTGACATAATCCAAGGTTGAGATGCGACGCTTGGCATTGAAGACGATGTTCTCCAGAGCCCGGACAAACGTGCTAGCGACGTTCCTTGCTTGTACCGCGGTCAAGTGGTCAGTCCAGTAATCAAGATCAACTGCTGCCGCGTCGTCTCCAACTTCGATGTTGACGCTAACCGGGTACCTATTGATCTTGTCAGTTGGTTACTTTATAGGGGTATTAACTATAAGCACATACTCGGTCGGATCATAGATAGGGCGAACCTCCAAAATCTGGAAGCCCTCTCCAACATCTGGTTGCTCCTGAGAAAGACGGCGGTATGATAGCGCTGTGTTGAAAAGGCTTGCTCCAGAAAGCTCAAGAACGTGCTGAACATCAGCCAGCGCTATGTGGCGATGTGGTATGGCTTCCATGTAGTCTCTCTGTACATCCTGAAGAACGTCTAGGAGGCAGCGCGAGCCATCCGAGAGATCCACACGGCATACCAGTGTATTGATGAGTGGGCCAACAATTTCTTCCACGCCGCGAACTTCTTCCGAGTCGCGAGCCGAGGTGAGGTATCCAAAGGTGACGTCTTTGCTTCCAACGTAACAGCCGAGAGTCAGTGCCCAGGCGGTGTGAAAAACGTTGGAGAGCGTAATGCCGTTGGTGTTGCAGAAGGCTTGCAAATCGGGAAGACCGATGCTGGCTAAGTCCATGCGGATAGTGACGAGTTCCTTTTCTACGGTATGACCCAGCCCGTCGTCAAGAACTGGGAAAGAACAGACCTCACTACCACCTAGATAAGACTTCCAGAACTCAATGCTAGCTTCCTGTGGCTGTCTGATAAGCCATGCGATGTACTTGCTGTACGGAGTAGCTTCGATAGCAAGACGGCTCTCGCACGCTAACTTGAGCTCATTGGCCAACAGGCTCATCGAGTGACCGTCCATGATCGCGTGACTGATGTCCAAAGAACAGAAAACCCGCTTATCACCTGTGGTACAGATGGTAAAGCGATGGTTTGGGCATTGCCCGGAGTTGTAGCCGATAGTTCGCTGCAGCTCGATCAATCTGATGGCGTCTGCCTCATCAGATGCCTCGATATGAACAATATGAGCGACAATGTCTTTGAGGACGACCTGATTGTAGAGACCCTTTGCGCCCAAGTTCTCAATGAAGACAGTGCGTAGTGCTGGATGACGTCTGACCACCTGTTGCCAAGCATCAGCAACCTCCTGCCATGAGAGTTTCCCAGTGGGTGCTTTGATCTCATGGAGAGTTGCAGCTGCATAGAAACCAGCATCTTTGGTCTGTGAAAGTAGGAGACCTTCCTGCATACTTGAACAGGGGTATACGTCTTCTACATCGACATCCCGGATACCCATGGCTGAGAATATATCAAGCATCGAGTAGAAGCTAGCCTCATCGAGTGATAGCAGAGGAAAATCGCTGACTGTTGGCTTCGGGTCAAGAATGGTGAGTTCCTGAATCATTTTGGAAATGGTTATTTGGCATTCGGTTATCCATTTATGAATAAGTGCCTGGTGGTGCATGTGCCGGTTGAATGTGAAAGCGACCTTGAGATGGCCTTTGAAAGCAAAGGCGGAGATCTCAAAAAGGCCCCATCTACAGGTCTGGTGGCCGAAGTCGGACGTACCACCAGCTTTGCCAGTCTCTCCGGCCATTGTGCCCAATGGCTGAAGTAGAGCATCTGTCCTCTCGAGTTGCTGAAAAATATGTCAGTAGGCTGCCTATTAACAAGTATTGAGAGATCCGTACCTGATATTGACCGAGGTAGTTGAACAGGATCTCCATTGGCCAATGTGTCTTGAAGCTCTCGCGTCCCTCCTCAGTGAGACATCGCCGAGCAAAGTACGGTCGTCCATTTCCAGGGATCCGGCGCTTGAAGTCCTTGATCTTGCGAACAGTGTCGGTAGCGTTATCCGATGGTGCTACAAGGATTGGAGATACTAGAGATACATTAGCCAAAGCTCCTTGTATTAAAGACGAGCTGAAACGCCTTGATCGTGGTGCGGTCCTTCGGACTACACAGTGGGCCGCTTATGACCGTAATTTTCCGTCACAAACGCAGAGAGAAGGGAGGCCTACAAGCTGTGAACCATCCGACAGTGCGGGTGATATCGATGTCTGAGTCCCACGGCTCCCGGCCGTGCCCCTCATTGAAGATGGCAGGAACAGGCCTGTCAGTGAACACATTGGACCAGGACTGTATCAAAGACGCAAGCAAGACTTCAACTGGCTCAGTCTTGTAGGCAGTATGACAACTGGTCAGGAAAGCGGAGCTGAGTTCTTTTTCAAGCTCAAAGCTTGCATGACTAGCATTGCCATAGGTGTTATCTTGGTGCTGAATGCCCCAGTATGTGAAGTCCATTGGAGGGACGTCAACAACAGGGAGGACCTCATCTAGCTCAAGAGTCTCAGCGTGTTCACGCTGCAACTCTGCCCATTTCTGAAATGGTAGCGCAGGTGTGAGAAGCTGACTGCCCTTGAGAATCTCCTCGAGCTCTTCCAACAGAAGTCTCCAAGTGACCAAGTCAACGACCAGGTGGTGACCAGTAAGAAAAGCATACTGCTCAGTGCCAATATCAAAGAAATCAGCTGCAAATAAGGGTCCAACAGCATGGTCGAAGCATTGCTGAGAATCCTCGATTAGCGCATCAATCTCAGCCTGCGATGTCACAGCAGAATGACGAAAGCGATACGAGCCAGCGATATCGTCTGGAGTAATAGTCAGTCACGTGCGTACGATTTGTGAATGTTGCTTTCTATGTGAGCACGTGACACCATGCGCACAGCAATATAAGTAACACCGGTTTCATGTGGGCCAACTTACTGGTGAGACGCTGTTGCCATCCACTCTCTTCTGAAAAGGAAAACCGTGCCCGCAACATGGAGTGTCGAGATATGAGCTGCTCCACTGCTGCATGAAATTCGCCAGCCTCGGTCTTGCGCGTCACACGGAGGTAGAACGACTGATTGAAGTGGCCCTGGGTGTTGGGTCGTTTGAAATATAGAGACTGAATAGGAGAGAGATCAAACTCCTCGTCGAAGTATTCCTGGTGGTCGTATGACGAGCTTTCAACCTCCTTGACAGCCAACGCCAATTGAACGATGGATCGGCTTCGCAAGACTTCTTGTACGCCAAGGCTCATGCCTTCCTTTCGGCATTGCCCAACAACCTGCATTGCGGAGATGGAATCTCCGCCTACCGAAAGAAACGACTGGTCGAGAGGGACCTCTGGTAAGTTGAGGACATGAGCCCACACAGACTGGAGGCTCTGCTCCACGGGACTGGCGAGATTGGATGCCATGTTGAGATGATTCTTCGACGTCTGGCGGAAGGTGAGTGTGAGTGAAAGCGCGTGGTGATGCGGGCGTGACGCGTGGTGGCGCGTGGTGGTGCGTGGAAAGGCAGTACCAACAGTTCGACACGTTACAGCAGGGCAATACGAGGTCTTTCGGTTGTAACAAAAAAGTTTCGAAGAAGAGAAGACAAGCACGTACCAGGGTCGACGATGCTGGTCTATGATCGAGCAAGATTGCACTACAGTTTACGCACGGAGTGATTATGCCGAGGGAAAATCGAGAAGGGATAAATTTGGCAAAAATTTCGCCATGTAGCTATTAGGGCAATTCGAATAACGGTCGGAAACAATCAAAATCAATCACGTCGAAGTATCTGGAATTGCACCAAAAAGAAAGAGATCAGCTCAGGGTAGAAACCTTAGTTCCAGGCAGATCTTCGACCCCTGGCATTTTCCCTCGGTCTCGGCGAGGCATTCTGAATATCCGTCCGCCACCCAATGCAGCGCGTCAACTTGTAATGAGGTCATTGTTATGCTGAGTGTTCTCGTCTGTCCGGGGCCACATATGCTAGAAAGGCATGGATTGCGAGGGCCTTCAACCGGTGCTTGCCGTCTACACGATCTTCTTGCATCCATAATTGCTCGCCTCGAGAATGCGCATGCGGCCAGGCCATGTGAGAATGTCCTAGGATCGGCGATGGGGGGCACCTAGTCAGTGAAGCTTGGGGTGTACTCTACATTGTGGATTGGAGGACCAAGAGGCTCATTGCTTCTGAGCAAACGGGGTCCACAGGAAGTAGCGCGCACCGGATTCGCCATGGGGCAAAAGCAACATTGCTGTTTCGCGGAATACCGATGGAGCCTGGGGCGCAACGCGCTGCACGAGGCTGGCTGCGAACATCCTGAGGCTGGCATTCCATCTGCAAAATGAGGTGATTGAGTGGGCCACGCTGTATATTGCATCCATATTGTGGCGTCGCTGTACGCAGGCGGTATAGCACGACAGCTCGTGTTGCGGTGGGGGGAGGCGAAGGAGAAAGCGTGAGGTTTGGACGGTGTCGATGAGCCCCGGTTTTCTCGACAAGGGTAAGGTGCACGAAAACCGTGTCGCATTCGGGTCCGCTTATGTAAGTAGAGCTCCATGTGGCTCACCAAAATTAGACAGACGCCTAACCACCCAGGGCCGGACGCTCATGTCCGCCTATCCGGGCTGCCACGCTTCCACATCCGCTTTGCTTTCACAAGCGTTGTCTGAGTTGACGAGCGTTGGGGCCGCTGGGCTGCCTGTCAGCTGCTGGCGAGAAACTTGCTTTGCGCCATCAAACGTCGTCAGCCTGCCCCAAGTAAGCCACCGCCCATCATCACTCACGCCCCACTTACAATCGCCAATCATTCGCCTTGTCACCCCTCTATCATGTTCTTTTGCGCCACTGACATCCGCAATTGAGTCTTTTTATCCTACTACGCAACCCATTCGGGATTGCTGTTGGATCCCTCGTTCCCTAGTTGTGACAGATCCCGCCAACCTGTTCCCCAATGCATATTACAGCAATCGTCGTGAGTGTGGTGTGTCCACAGCGTGTAGGCGGCACTCCCGGTTGCCGTCTGCAATTAGTATAGGGCGTCCCATCCGACCTTGCACGGTGGATAGTGCCCCATCGAGGCATTGGCGACCATCGGGCTTATGCCGCTACGAACCAAAGCACCGGAATCCCGGGTCCAATATCTCTGCCAGCTCATCTGCTAGAGAGCCCTCGTTTCGACGCATCACGCCTCGCCTAGTCATTCATCAGGCACAGGTTGCACCATCGTAGCCTCTTTGTGATCTGCTTTTCTTGGGCCGTTGGCTGCCAACGCGACACAAGATGCATACGTGTCGCAAAGTCTAGATTTCTAGCTGCTCGGACAACGCTCTTTAATCCATCTAGTTCACTCGTTCAGCTCGCCATGTTGGATCTGCAGGAATTGTTCGCCGAAAGCGGATCGTCATTGTGGGGTAACCAGCTTTTCCAAGCAGCTAGCAACATGACTGCAGGTACCCCGGAAATCTCAACATTACCCGTACGGACCGCACAAATGACGGTTTTCATATTCGCAATATTGGCAGGTTAGAGCTAGTGTGCGGCCCTGTTCCCTCCACCATGTCTCTGCAGTCTTCACTACGGGTTACCGTCCAAATCGATTTTGATCGGCAGCCGGCGTCGTGGCTTCTGTGCAGCATGCATGGCCATGTATACTAAATCCCGAAAGTCACTCCCTTGACACTATCTTGTGGGTCTCCAAGGCTCACGGGACGGCCCAGCGCCATCGCCCCCATTCACTGACACGCCTCTGCATTCGGCGACAAGAGCGAAGTATGACTACCGACATGCTCTTCACGCCGCTGGACGCCTCACCAAGACAATCCGGTCAACGACGCGGGGACAATCTGCCGACAAAATGATGAAAAATGGAACGGATATGGAGTCGAGTCCCGTGGATGTCTCTCTTTGGACAGGTCGTCTGCCCTCCGTTAATCTACATACCTGTTTGTACAGTATTCACCGAGGCGGTCCACTTACCGGAGACCGCAACATTAGGCTATTCGGCACTGGAAATTGCTCAAAATACTGCCCTCACAGTCTGTTCACAATTGTTGGACTCGTCGTTCAGTGGTATCACTCTGAATTGCTAGCCGGTGTGAGGAGTACGGGCATGTCCGATGAACACATCATGCTTGCCCACCGCCATAGTCTACGCATCATCACGGAGTTTGCGATGCAGACACAGTGACACTCGTATCCAAATTCATGTGGGACACAGCTGCGCCCGGGACAGCCATTGTTGCACATGACCGGTATCCAAGAACCAGTGGACCTAGGACACCACCTCAAGAGAATAGACCGCCGGTCACTGTGCGGCTTTTAAACAATTAGGTCCGTGCGAACTGCAAGCGACTCATTGTTTCTTCGGCTGTGTCAAGAACACGTCTCAGTTACCAGGATTTTACGGTAGCGAACGAACCTGCCGAGCAGTTTGTCAAGCAGTCCATCTTTCAGCTGCCAAAATACCATGCCTCCCTCAGGCGTCCTGGGTAGCAAGCCGATGAAGGGCCGTAAGCGCTGTCCTTGTTCTTTTTCACGGCAAGATCAACTAGTCTCCGCACCTTACTCTAGTCCAGCTTTAGCAGTTCAAGCAGCCAAACCAAGGCAAACAGCCTCCAGGCAGGTGGAACTCCGTCGTGGTAAACAGGCTTAGTCAAGAGTATGACGGGAAATAGACGTGCAGTCGCATGGAACGTCAGAGCACATCCAGCCGCGATCGTCAATGTGACCGCGTTGATCTAGCGGTCGTAAGCCACAGGCGCCCCTTATGCTGGTGCCAAGCTGACAGCGTGGTCGCGCAATTAAGGTTGGAGGATCCCTTTCCCGGGCCGCCGTCACCCGATGTTAGGCTGCAGGGTGATGGCAGCGGCGCGAATCGTTACTCAAAATTCACATAGTACTACGGCTAAACCAAATACAAGCGTCGCATGCACGACCCTTACCCCTTCATACATCCTTCCAACGCATGCAACCTGCATGCACTGATTTTGCACCAGGTTTCGAAAACTTCGTGTGCGCCTCTAACTACCGGAGGCCCATAAATGGAAATTGATTACTGTCCGAGTTTACCTGTCACCCGCATTGGGCTGTTATGCCGAAGATCACAGCGCTAACTCATTTCCATCCGGCGAACATGGCAATCCCAAGGCGTGACTATCTGACAGTGACTACGTAAAACACATGCTACCAGTCTTGGTGGGATTGAATAAGTCTGTGCGTCGATGGGGTGCAATGGAGCCGCATTGCGCAGCTTTGTTCTCATAGGATCGCCTACACATGCTACCGCAGTGTCCAAGCCTTTGAGCAAGTGCTCGGGCACCTGGATGCCGCTGAAGCATGTAAAGAAAAAATTATCATTCTGCCACCGGCCCAGCAGTGATCGGCGTGATTTCTGACATCCTAAACGTCTTAGGGGTTGCCAGTGTATGAACCCCCGCATCCCAGCTATGTTACCTTTGATGAACCGCCGACAACACTGAGAAACCTCTGCCCGTTGACCTAAGTTTGCAATGGCTACAACACCGGACCAACACTGTGCTGCCGTTGACGATACATTCGGTCCCTATGCTGGCCCTCACTGCCGTGGAGGGTTCGATTTTACTCTTCTCTTTTCTGAGATCTTCCTCTCCATAATACCTATTTCGTTATTAATTAGCATTATACCCTTCGTCGCATTCCGTCTTTTAAGAACACCAACCAAAGTTTCAAGATCTTCTTTACTATACACAAAACTGGTATGAGTCTCTTCCCACCGTAGCCTTCGCTTGTCTAATAAGTTCGTTGCAGATAGCATGGGCTGTATTCGCTGGCTTCGAGCTTGCCCTTCTTGTTGTATGGACAGGTCGGCATAGAACGAATCATCGTGCCGAGTTAGCCTCTGCTGCCCTCAGCTTCGTCGGTGCAGTCCTCTTCGGAGTCTTCTCCTTCTTCGAGCATCTGCGCTCGATACGCCCGTCATTTTTGTTGACCGTATACCTCCTGTTCACCTCCGTCTTCGATATCCAACGCTCCCGTAGCTACGCACTCTCCCCCGATTTGGACCTCGTAGCAACAGTTTTTGCTTCGCGACTTGGTGTGAAAGTGTTCTTGGCAATAGTCGAGGCTCGGGACAAGCGACGTCTTCTGCTCCCAGAGTTCGCCGACTGCCCACCAGAGGCCACAAGCGGTGTGTACAGGCGTACCACTTTCTGGTGGCTCAATGACCTGTTCAAGAGTGGCTTTTCCAAAGCGCTGGCAGTGGAAGATCTCTTTCAGTTGGATAAGCATCTACGAACCGACTATCTACATGAACTTCTAGGTTCAGCATGGGATAAAAGTAAGTTGAAGGACTGCGTACTTATCCGACATGCCAGCTAACAACATGTTCTCACAGAGACCATTGTCGGACCTCATTCACTTTTTGCAACAACATTGCAGAACCTCAAATGGCCCATACTTGCCGTCGTCCCGCCTCGACTATGCCTGATTGGCTTCAATTTCTGCCAGCCTTTCCTCATCAACCGAGCTGTCAAATTTTCTCAAGATCCTGCGACGGCACAAACCAAGAATATCGGCTATGGGCTGATTGGCGCATACATCCTTGTCTTCATTGGCATCGCGGTAAGTGGATTAGTGAGATCGCAGATCATAGAAGGATTCAGCTGATGTTTTGCAAAGATTTCCACCGGCCAGTACATGCATCTCACATTCCGGTTCATTACACAGATGCGAGGCGGTCTTATTGCCATGTTGTACGGCAAAGCGACGGATATTGCGTTGACTGATGTGGATACTGCTTCCTCCCTCACGCTTATGAGCGCTGATGTTGAGCGCATCGTGACTGGTATGGAGACTGGCCACGAGATATGGTCAAATGCACTCGAAATTGCATTGGCAATGTACCTCCTACAGCAGCAGTTGGGTGCGGCGTGTGCGATCCCTATAGGTGTTGCCGTTCGTGAGTAGCTCTTGACGAAATTGCCCATGTTTGCGCTAATCTCTACAACAGTATCTCTTCTTGGTTCTATCGCCGTCACGAGCCTGATCATGGAACGCCAAGCGCTCTGGCTCGAAGGCATAGAGCGTCGCATTGCAGCTACAAACGGAATGCTCAACTCCATGAAGGGTGTGAAGATGGGTGGTCTTACCGAAGTGCTGCGAGAAGACCTCCAAAGACTGAGAGTGGATGAACTGAACATATCCAAGAAGTTCAGAAAACTCCTCATTTGGACCATGGGCTTCTGTAAGTTATTACCTTCCAGTACTCGGATGCTTCGATCTAACTTACAGCAGCCTACATATCTCCGATAGTGTCACCAATCTTGGCTTTCGCAGTGTTCTCAATCATTGCCAAGAACAAGGATGGCGGGGGCAGTCTGGATACCGCGACAGTCTTCACGTCGCTCTCTCTTTTCACACTGCTCACAGAACCCCTCGGCTCGCTTATCATGGCGCTTTCGTCGCTCATGGGAGGTGTAGGGTCATTCCAAAGAATACAAGAATTTCTTACGATAGCTCCGCGAGATGAAAAACGGAAGTTTCCTTCCTATCGTGGTGGAAGCCTTACTTTGGTTTCGGAGTTAGAAAGCGGTTCGGACAAAGGCTCTGAGTCTTCTCAGAAGAGCCGCTGCTCTGTTGAGTTCAAGGAGCCCAGTTCTCTTGGCTCCCAAGCCATCGTTATCGAGAACGGGTACTTCGGATGGGACCCGATCAAGCAGCCTGCTGGTACCTTGCAGGATATCGACATGATCGTCCCGCGAGGGAAGATTACCATGGTCGTGGGTCCTGTCGGTTGCGGCAAGTCAACCCTGCTCAAGGCAGCGTTGGGTGAGCTGCCGGTTATGGGGGGCACCCTGCAGGTCTCTTCCTTGCGGATCGCCCTGTGTGACCAAAGTGCATGGCACGTGAACGGCACAGTGCAGGAGAGCATTATCGGTGTTTCAGAGTTTGATCAGCGATGGTATTCGTCGGTTGTACGAAGCTGCGCGTTAGATGAAGATCTACGGCAGCTACCTCAGGGTGATCAAACTCAGATCGGCAGCAAGGGTATTGCATTGAGCGGAGGTCAGAGCCAGCGCATTGTAAGGCACCCCACCACCATTCCCGCCTTCCACACCCTCAAGTTACTGACTATGCTTTTTTCAGGCTCTTGCGCGAGCAGTGTATGCACAGAAGGATATCATCATCCTTGATGACTGCCTTAGCGGCCTTGACGGTCAGACTGAGACTCGCATCTGGCACAGTCTCTTTGGCAACGAGGGACTGTTGAAGCGTTGCAGGACGACTGTTCTTATCGCATCATCGTCAGCAAAGCGAGTGCCATATGCCGACCACATTGTCTCTCTCGACAAGAACGGCAAGATTGCAGAACAAGGCTCATTCGAAAATCTCAACACCTCAGGCGGTTACGTGTCAGGTTTTGATCTCGCACTCGCCGACTGGAACTACCGGCCTGGGAAGCATGATTACGAGGCTCCACCTCGCTACACTGAGCGTCAAATCGACAACAGCAATCGCACTGAAGACGATGTTCAAGCAGAGGCAAACCGCCGCACAGGAGATACTGCTATCTACTTCTACTACATCAACTCGGTGGGCTGGATACCGACAATCATCTTCATGGGTTCCATTATCATCTTCATCTTTGGCATCTCATTTCCGTCGATATGGGTGAAGATGTGGGCGGAATACAATGATTCTCACCCAAATGAACGACTCGGATACTGGTTGGGCATCTACGCCATGTTTGGCGGGTTAGCGCTCTTCTTCCTCATTGTCAGTTGCTGGCAGCTCATCATCACGATGGTTCCCCGTTCCGGCGTCGCATTCCACAAGAAGCTTCTGGATACGGTTCTTGGGTAAGTTGCAGGTGATACAATTGATAATACCCCACATACTAACAAAGAAAAGATCGCCCATGTCCTTTTTCTCCACTACCGACACAGGAGTCACACTCAACCGTTTCAGCCAAGATCTCATGCTCATTGACATGGAATTGCCGGTGGCGGCGCTGAACACCTTTGCCAGTAAGTTGTCCTTCCGCTCCAGATTCCAATGGACAATGTACTAATGGCGTCGCAGCATTCGTCATGTGCATTGGTCAGATGGCTATCATCGCCGTTGCCTCGCCTTACGCTGCCGTCTCTTTCCCTGTTGTGGGAATCAGTGTCTACTTCATTCAAAAGTTCTACCTTCGCACGTCGCGCCAACTTCGTTTCCTGGATCTGGAGGCCAAGTCGCCGCTCTACACTCAGTTCACTGAGATACTAGAGGGACTGGCTACGATTCGCGCATTTGGATGGCAAAGCTTTGTCGAGGAGAAGGCGAAGGCATTGCTTGATCTCAGCCAGCGCCCCTTCTACCTTCTCTTCGCTGTCCAGCGTTGGTTGACACTCGTGCTTGACTTGGTTGTTGCAGCGGTGGCCACCATACTCATCGTGCTTGTCGTTACACTTCGTGGAAAGTTGAGCGCAGGATACGTCGGAGTCGCCTTACTCAACGTCGTCCTCTTCTCGCAGAGCATTAAATTACTCATCTCTTTCTGGACTCAACTCGAGACGCACATTGGTAGTGTCGCAAGGATCAAGAACTTCACCACCGAATCCCTCGCTGAAGACCATGACGACGAAGATTGCATTCCCCCATCCAACTGGCCGAGCGCTGGGAAGATCGAGTTCCAGAGCATTGAAGCATGTCACCGGTAAGTTCGGTTCCTACTATCAGCCCAGCTCTGTCGCTAACATTCATAGACCCGGTGAGCCAGTCATCTCCGACTTCTCCCTGTCTATCAAGCCCGGGGAGAAAGTAGCCATCGTCGGTCGCACCGGCAGCGGCAAGTCCTCGCTTGTCCTCTCCCTTTTCCGAATGATCGAGCTCTCATCGGGCAACATTACTCTCGATTCGCTCCCTCTCACGCGCATCCCGCGCCAAACAATCCGCAGCCGGCTCATCGGCCTGCCACAAGATGCGTACCTGCTTCCGGGCTCCATCCGTCTCAATGCCGACCCTTTGAAGCAGTCCAGCGACAAAGCCATCATGGCCGTGCTCAAGGATGTGCTGCTCTGGGACATTATCGTCGCAAAGGGTGACGTCGACAAGTACGCGCACCCCCTTGACGTCGAAGTTGAGGACCTGCATTTCTCGCATGGCCAGCGTCAGCTCTTCTGCCTCGCGCGCGCCATGTTGCGCAAGGACAAGGCTACTGTCGTCATCATGGATGAGGCTACTAGTAACCTCGATGCCACGACCGATGCACATGTCCAGCGTCTTCTCCGCTCAAACTTCCCCCACCATACACTCATATCCGTTGCGCACAAGCTTGACACCATCCTTGACTTTGACAAGGTCGTCGTCATGAACAAGGGTCAGCTTGTTGAGTACGGTGCGCCGTACAAGTTGCTGGAGCGCCAAGGGAGCTGGTTCAAGAGTCTGTATGAGGATGTTGCTAGGAGGGAGGAGGCGGAGGATGGTCTGGAAATTGTGAATTGATGAACACATGTATGTGACAAAAAGGGAAAAATATCAAATACTTTAATGTATGTTATGATTCTTATTTACACGCAGCATTTTGGTAACGAATTTCTTTTGGTTTCAGACTTAGAGTTGAGTGCACGTGAACTTCTACATCACGCACGTGATCACATGCGCGGACATTTGTTTTGTCATCTCGTCTTTTGGTGGTGTGTATCGTGGTATATCAGAAAATCATTCAAGTTTCAGTTTTACATAGTTCTACTTGGATGTCCTTAATGTATACAGTATCTCCCATCTTGTGTCTAATATTTCTGCTGATGCCCTTAACCTCATTCTGTAAGGGTGAGGCAGGCGTCACGCACAGAGAGACATTCTGGTTGAACAAGCTCGGTTCAGAAATGGAAAAAATAGCAGACAGCCTCTCTAATAGAGAGAGAGAGAGCCTATTCTAAGTATATAGTGCAGGGAGAAGATTGGGTTAGGCCGAAAGAGGACTAGTACGTAAGGAAGAGCTCCGTCCTTACACTCCTCAAGCGGCATGTGAGACCGTCACAAATACCGTCTGCCCCTGACGGCTCTCGAACTCTGTGGCCAACCAGTTCCGCATGGAGGCAAGGAGATTCTCCGGGTTGCTGCTTGGAGTATGAAAGGTAATGATGTCGGACCTGATGTCACGAGAGGCAACGAGCAGTAATCTCAGAACTTATGAAGAAGTTTGATTTGTGTGCTACGTACAGCACTCAAGTGTAAATACAAGACGTTGCGTGAAGAAAAGAAGTGGAGAGTTCCACCCAAGAAAGATACATAGCGGAAGAAAGCTCGTGTGATGTCATACGGTTGTCGAGGCAGTGGCATACTGTCGAGGATAGTACATTGCACTGTTGCGATAGGAGCGTGCGGATTGGAGACAGGAGCGTACGGGTTAAGAGCAGGAGCGCATGGGTCAGAGGCAGGAGTGTCAAGGGGACCACGGTGGTTACCGTGACACCTGATATACACGATACGGATGTGCTGAAGGTTGGTGCATCTGAAAATCCTCTCAAGACCGTACTTGGTGCATACATGTCGTAGAGACAGTACCCTCCTTTCTCTGGCGCACACAGGGTCGGTCGCTCTCTCAACTCAATCTTCCTGTCTGTCACCCCACATCGAGGCCGTGATGCTGCCAATATGCATAGTGAAAGTGACCTCCCTGAGTGAAGGAAGCATTGACGCCAGGTCCAAGAAAAGGTTAGATCTGCGGCTGCCGGTGACCCCAGAGAACCAATGGAAGCCTGTCAATTCTAGTTTCACGATGTTTTCATGGAGTCCTGGAATGTCTGGGGATTGCAATAGTTGGCCCATGTAGAAAACGTCAGTTGTGGATGGAACCCTAAAGAACAGTTCCTTCAGATAGGGAAGAATAGTTTGCTGCCACTGTCTACTCTGGCTGGGGTCAGCTTGGGGAGCCTCCCGTTCAGCAGTTATGTCGGCCATAAAGGATCCTTAATATCTCTTGTGTTAGCTGATGAACGTATATTTCACATATTTGATTTTCAAGTTACATACCGGTACATAGTCTGCTCCAAATGGCAGCATCTGCGCCAGCGGGAACAGGAAGAGACGGTTGAGTGGTGCCGCCATTCTGAAGTGGTCGGGCAGTGTTGCCATTCTGAGGCGCTGAAGCAGCCACCACAGACCCCTGCTGTGGATTTTGAAGATTACCTGTCGGATCGAAGGCGTCTGCGGAACCATTCAATTGGTCTGGAGCTGATGTCAGTATGCATTCAGATACATCAGGGAGGGCATAGACTTACATCCATAGGTTCTTGATGCAGAACTTGGGAGATTACCAGAAGTATTATTATTGACAATTCCCGGCATTTCGGATTCGATAATAGGTTTTCTATACTGGTATTTGCGGTGAGTGTTGAGAGATATTGGCCAGTGTTAAGCTGTGGATGTCGAGTATGTAGAAAGAGTTCGAGTCTGGGGCGGAAGAAGGGGCTTATATATCGTGAGAATTGGTCACCAAGATATCCCACTCTTGTCTGCCATTTTCTGCGCGCAAACTTGGTGTTTGCTCAAGTTCAGAAAGAAATCAAGTGGGACAGGGGTTATGTGAAAGACAGACTGCCAAGGCTATTGGCGGTGCAAGAGCTTCAGCTATGCGCAAGAGACACGGAAGCAGCGGGATAGTATTGGTTGATTCTCTACCATCGTGTGATTCATACAATCTCGGGGTCTTGGTTGCGAACGTAACATTCACGCGACGCGGTCAGGACACTGCATTAGGACATTGGGAACAACGGTCATGTGGGGGTAGTTCTCATTGTTGTGTGTAACCCCTCAATTTTCTCATACACACGGGGTCCTCAGACGCTACCGACATAGGCGGTGTGGAAATCTGAGTGTTGGTATCAACCACTGACCATAGCAAACGCGCGGTAAGAGCGCTAAGCTTACTGAACTCCTTGTTTCGGAGAGTGAACCGAGGTGACGATTCCGCTACTATTTGCGCACAATAGTCCATGACCATACTGCCAATTCGATATGACCAGTAGCTCCCGTGAAATTCACATGCTGCTGCCTCACCGCCCTCTCCTCGGGCTTCCCGTTTTCTAGTAGCACAACATCG